AATATTTTCCAACGAGAAATTGGTATATTTAAAAGAGAAATATGGAGTTATTTGGGGGACTGTGTCCAGCCGTGTCGTTGAAAAGTTGCTAAGTGTCGAGCTTTTGGACGGCTTCGTACTCTGTATATAGGGTTAGCGACAAACATCAAATTCGAAATTTTAGGCTTCCTGGAAGCGCTTGAGGATTGTAAATAAAGGTAGAACATTTTCGTATGAATATTTTTTGGATTTCGAAGAGAAATATGGAAAAATATCGGATTGCCGGACGTTCAATTATTTTAAGTTTAGTCACTTAATTCATTGCAGGAACGTCAGCGACACTGACAGTTTGCGTTACAATTCTTATTTGCTGCTTTGCATGGACAACAACCTCGACCGCTCTTTCGAGCGCAAGCTCCTCTCCACGGGCAGGAAACTTCAACTGACCCTTGGTTCTATTTAACAAGGTTGACAAACTTCAATTTAAAAAAAATTGATGAATGGATGAAAATGGATGGATGACTCTATGTCCAGGATGGCTCTTGAGAAAGACGATTTTAGAAGGTTTTCAGTGATCTGAGAATTTCGTGTTACAGGAAATTGGGTCGAGGCGCGCGTTGCATCAAGGTTGGAAATGGGACTTTAAACTCGGACGCTGAATTGCAGATTTACCTGAAAAATGAAAAATTGACTCACTTCCATGTTCTTGTTTATCTCGATAACCTTCACGCTAAATTAAAGTGACGTCACGGAACGCGATCAGTTTCAGGTTTGCGCAGACGTTCCCTCGCCTCCGTTTCACTTGGGGGGGGAGGAAGGGTACGGTTGCTCGTAGGCCAAAAAATTGGGCTAAATTTCAGGATACTGTAAAGTCTAAAGGAACAAAACACCTGCTTCATTTGACGCCTTGCTGAACGACACGAGGGAACTTGAACGAAACTAGCTCTACTCATTGCATTCTCAGGGTCTAAACCATACATCTCTTGAAGTTTTCTACGAAATCATTGAATTTTTCGAGCTTGGTATGTGTTCCAAACCTATGTTTTGCTTAAAAACTGCTCAGAGACGCAAATATTCGCTCAAGGTTGCTTGAACCGCAAAAAGGTGCTCAAAAGTTTTCGGGCACCGTAATCGGGACAGGCCTATTGACAGTTATCGAATTTGGAATAAGGTCCGCAGCCCCAGCTAAACGATTAAATATCATGTTGGATAAGTATGTGTAAATGTTTCACCGCCTCTCTCAAACCTATGAATAATGAATCATGAATCAAATAACGAATTCATAATTTAACCGCCTCTCTCAAACATATGAAAAATGAATTCCAATGTATGACCTAGATCAAACATTTTAATCCAACAATTTTCTCCACAAGCAAATATTTGATAATTCAGCCACCCAATCAGCTTGATCCTCCCCGCCTTTTAGCTACTTTCAAGTTTTACTCACCTGTATGGTTCAAATTGGTCGGTAACTTTTGAGCTGACGGTTCCAAGATTGCCAAATTTATTCTGGTAGTTGTTTGGCCATTGGTTGTCTATCGCCATTGTGATAAATCAAGCGTCTGACTTGAAAGCACGGTGACCCTTGGTAGCGCTCCAGACTCAACAATTGGTTATCTTTACAAAGATGATACGATATATCAGTGATACCAGTAAACTTGAGGAGAGAAGGTGTTTTATTTGACTTCAGTTTTTCGATGATAAAGCGACAAGATTTACACACACCATTGCAGCAACTGACAAACGTGCACACTCTGACATCTTCATAACAAAGATTTTGAATTTACTTGCAATGACTTTCCCCGCCCATAAACTGGACCAAAGTAACTTTTCGTAGAATAATCCTTGATTGAGATGAATAAAACTTTCTCTACGATAACTGATTTTTTTTTTGAGGAATAATTCGTCCAGATAGTCATTCAACTCGATTCTGTTTGCCAAACCAATGCTGTTGTTCGTTCAAGAGTGTACACGGCTTACTTTTTTCGTTGTGACATGGCGGCTGCTGTAAAGTAGCAGAAATGTTGAATTTCAACCAACTCGACGTCTCAAAGAGTGGCCAGATTGGAAACAGCGTTTTGAGCGGTTCATATGCGCTATTATTAAACGATGACATTAAAACATATTTTATCTAGAAGCATTTAAAGAGCTTTCTTATGTTGGACAAGCCATTCAGGAAAAAAATATATAATATGCTAGAGGATCGTTTCCTATTTCTTGGGCAGTCTTACTCAGTAAGTAAAGTAATCGATATCTTTTCTAAAAAAGTCAATTTAACTCTACAAAATATTAGTGTCAGGTTGTTACTGATTTCAACTAAGTTCCATACTCTCCTATCGCGAATTGACACGAAAACAGATGACCAGTTTCAACGGTATTTGGAACTTGTGCCAGAATATTTCAATTATCTTGTGGAAAGCCATGTTTCAATTTTTTTAGTCTCGTTTGATAAAGAAGAAAGTAATTCAAACTGGTAGAAATTTATCCCTTGCAGGGATTTTCTGGAAATTCCCTTTTTTATATTTCAATTCCCTTCAGGCTCGTCTTTGGGTTGATTCCATGTGGAATTCCAATCAGAAAAATAATTCTTAATTTTTAATTGAGCACGTTCAACTCCTCTGTCTTTAAGGTAATTAAAGGTGTAAACAACTTGTACGTTTCATCCTCCCACTGAATTTATAATCAGGTAACTTATAGGAACAGCACGTAGCCCTTTCGGGGGGCGGTACTTGGGGTACGCCCTTTCCTCGCAAATTCTGCATTTATTCTGTTCTTATGTTGAAGTCATCAAAGGTTTTTTCCGATTTAGATATCTTTTTAAGTCTAATTCTATATCTGTTCATAAGTTCACTACAAATTTTATATTGTCAATCTTGTTTTTGTTTTAAGACTATTATTCAAGATCTATTCAAGATTTCCGGAAATAGCTTTCAATTCCAGTACCACCAGCAGTGCTGCGATCAATATAATCAAGGACATATTTGCCCGATGGGGAATACCAGACGAAATTGTGAACCACAATGGTCCTTAATTTGCCTCTGACCAAGTTTAGCCACAAGTATGAATTTCAACATACCACCACATTACCCACAAGCAGATGGAAAAGCAGAAAGGGGTCCGCGTCGCCAACAGGATATTGAAGCAGTGACATCCCTTTCTTGCACCTTTTTTGTACCGAGTAAAACCTCAAACATTCACAGGCATGAGCCCTTGCCATTTGATAATGGGAAGATAAATCTGCACCCTCCAACCTACATTGGAATCCAACTTGAAGCCGGTTCTACTGAGCCACGAAGCTGTTACCAGAAAGGACGAGCGATCCAAAACTGCATACCATCAGCACTTTGACAAGAGACTTGGACTGCTACCCCTTCGCGACCTAAAGCCAGGTGACTCAGTTCGTGTAAAGTTAGATCAGCAGAAAGGGTGCCTGGGAAAGTCAAAGGCAAGAAGCCCTACTCCCCCGTCATATGTCATCCAAAAACCTTTCAGAGTGGTACGTAAAAACTGTAGACACTTGCGGTTAGCGATTAGTCTTGATAGAGTTGAAATGCCTGACGAACAAGATTTGAACCTCGAGCCAATATCGCAAACAAAGGATCCAAGCTCAGTGACAAATACCAATTCAGGAAAACCACTACAGATTATGGAACCTTGCGAAGTGACGTCAACTGTACCCTTCTCTACAAACACACAGCCTAGTTTTCCTCAACTTAGAGTTAGGACCTCTAGCGACCGAGTTGCGAGAGACCTTGTTTGATTCGAGGTTTTGGAATGCTAATAATAATAGGGACATTGATCGATTCAAACATAAAATGAATTAAGCTATTTGAGTTATATAATTATTAGTTTCTTTGCCATTCATTACTGGTGAGTCCTTTAAGAACTCAAAGGAAGAAGATGTCATGGCAGAATAGCTTAACTAAATCGATCCTACTGCGCATGAGCGAGAGAAGTTTTACGGACTTTGTGTCGTAAAATGAGAGCCAGAGTGTGAGAGTTGATGATGTACGTATAGGACTTTCTTCGTGTAGAATTAAATTGTTACTTTTCCTGTGATCAATGTGTGGTGTTGTTGCGACAGGTGTCCAATCGTGCAAAACACTCATCACAAAAAATCTTTCGAAGTTTGCTTGAAAGCCATTTGAAGACACCTTTCATGATCAGTATCATCATGCAAATAAATTTTTCGGTGAATCCTTTCTCTTTAATTTGCATTACCTCTGTTATCTTTACATCTACTCGCTAAAATGTGTTTAGTTTATGGAGGATCTTACCGTAATTACCGCCCTAAATTGTTCGTGGTCTTTTAGCATGCGTTTTGTTAGTTTCTAGAAAAGAATGAAATGTTTTATACCTGCCTAGGTTGGTCAATATAGCGAAATAGCGAAAGTTGAATACCGCCCTCTATCTACAGCCTTGGGTGACTCGGGTGATATTCAAGACTTCGGGCACAGTTTTCCAAATATGGACCGACTTTGGCTGGTAAATAACCTATATATGTGCATTTGCAGTCGTGAGGTCACCATCTTAATTGTTTTTCCTCAAGTCATTTCGAGGGAGTGTCCTTGACCTGACTCACGGAAACAGATTAATTCAGAATTAATAACAGAATTTTCTAATTTTAGGAATCGAGAGACATTATGTAGGAAAATAATTCGATAATCGCGTAAGACTGAACTCCGCTTCGTGTTGACACATTATTATATAAACGTATTCTTCACCTGTTCCCATATGGTCGCCCTGTCCTGTCTGTGTCAGATTAACAGTTAGAGATTCACTTTTTATGCGCAGCCTTGATATTGTAAATGTATGATTATCGCAGGCTTAATTATTTTCCCCATATCATTTCCAGAAGGTGATTGCCTTTGTGCATGGACTTGAGAGCGTTTTGGGGGGGTGGGATTGTCAGATTAACATTTAGATTTCAGCATTTGTGGCAGTTACCTTCATGACATACATTTTCCTTGGCACATTAACTTTTAAAAATAATTAATATTTGTTTAATAATAGCAAGAACGCTACACTACCAAGAAAGGAGGAATTGTCTCAGATCGAACACGCGTGCTAAAATTTCCACCCTGGCTTCGCTCCTTTCTTTGCTCGTCAGAGAAGGAAAGAATTATTGAGGACTTGTTACTCTGTCCGATTCTTTTAGGGGTATATCTCCCTTCCTTTCGTTCATAGCGTGACCACAGGCACTCTCCAAGTAAAATAAGAAAACACACAACTATCGCTCCACCTAATATAAAGAAAAGGCCACCAAAATTAACAGGCTTCATCTCTTCAGCGCTTTGAGATGATCGACCGGTATAAAAACAGCCTCCTCTAAACCATTTTTCTTTCAGTTTCCTAAAGTAATCTATTTTTTGGTATTTAAGCAACAGATTTGAAACCGGATCTCTCCACTTCGAGTTTTTGGGAAATCCTATGGCGTATGCTACAGTAATTATTGGGTTCCCTACTACTTTAAACGAACATCCGGGCATCTTGGAAGCTCCAAGGTCAATGAATGGTGAGTCGTAGATGAAGGCTTTAATTTCCCTGAAAAGTAAGTGAAAATCAAAGTAAGGAATGTGTACAAACTGGAAGATAAGACCATGTGGTATTTCATTCGTTGACTCAGAAAAAAAAAACCGAAAATAAATAGGCGTGGTATTTACCGTCAATAAGTTCTAGAAAAATTAAACGATATGCATGATCCTTAAAAAGTACTATACACGATAAAAGTTGAATTATAAGATATATGCTAATTAGTATCTAATTTACCCTTAAGACCTTTGTGCAAAAGTGATATTTACTCACTAAAAACATAAAAACAGTTTCCTCGTTTATTATTAAGTAAGATTGAGAATTTACTACAAATAGATGGCATGAAGGAACGTCGATATCTTTCAGTTCTTTTGATCAGAATCGAGACATTCACTCAGGTTGTCCAAACGTTAGTCATCACAACTGACAAATGTCCTTCTCAGGACTACGCGTAACTGTGAAAAGGAGTAATACACTGGGTTTGTGTGCACTTTTATGATGTAAGTTTCATTAGATTTGATTACGAAATGCGTTCATGAGAAAGAAACTCGTGTTACAGGTCACGACGGCATCCTTTGTGATTAACACAAAGAAAGGAAGCCAAGTCCGTTTCTACAAATTTCGCTCTACTTGTACGAGCATTTCATGTCGCAATATACTACTATATCTTAGCTTTCATTTGATGTAAATTTCATGCGGTTTAATCAACATCGGCGAAAATTACCACTATGAACATCATTTGGCGAAAATTACTGTGGTTTCGCTTTCCGCAAACTGAAGTTTGGGATATCAACATGTCTTACTTCATTTAACGGTTCACGTTCCATAATTGAGACGCTACGCATAACTTCTGAGTCCTTTTCCCTTTTCGCGATATACTTCTACAAAGTCTTAGTTTTGATGTAAGGTTCATACAACAGGCTACTCATAATAATGTTTAAGTCAAATCGCCACTGGTAGCAACTTGACTCTTCGTAGTGGCGAGTTTTGCGGTGGCGAGTTTGTTGTGGTGGCGAATTGACCGGACACCATCCTGGGGTAACAGTCTCATACAAAATTTTGGTAGATAAGAAACTATGCATTACAGAGTTATTTTCAACGCGGGAGAGGGGGACTTACTTAGTTTTAATCAGTTTTTGGGTAACAACGATGAATTGTTTGAAGTGGGAGAATCCACATAGTTGCCGCTAAACCGCCTTTGTGGAGTCCTCCATTCAGATCCCTAAGAATGCACTACAACCCATTACAACCCAGGTGTCATGGCCGTTACCACTCTGTTACAAGGCAGTAGGGAATATATAGGGGTTGATTGTTTATTATAACTTTGCCCAAAGGTTTTTACTTGGAATTTTAGCAGGTCATAACATTTATTCTTACATGGAGAACATTCAAAATAAGTAACCCTTTTCTTAGGAAGGCATGACTAAGGCTGTATATTCACTGCCGTGTGCAAGACATGTCTCCATCATAAATCCAAGTTTGAAAAGAGGATTAATACCGACCCTTTCTTTAGTTTTTCGAGGCCCTCGTTGTAGCTCCTCACAGTATAGGGAATCATGTTTCTTCCTATTTTTCTGTATGCAGGATCATCACTGTTTGTAAAGAAGGACAGTATGCTACTACTATGAAGAGTGGTAAATGTGAAGCCTGGCGGAGGATCTTGAAACTGCAAAACAAGTAGGAAACAGTGTCAGCTCTTTTCTAAAAATAAATTCCAATATGAATACCTGAAACCTTATCTAACTTGTCTCATACGTGAGCTACCCAAAATGATTTTTCTTTGTGTTGAACTCACGAGTTTTATGATGGCTTTTATGGGTCTTACTGGTCTTTATGGAAGCTGGAGGAAACACCAATTTACACAGGCTTACCAAGTCATGTTCACAGATATCATTGGCCCGAAATCATATCTTCAACCTGTCCTGAAATGGCTTGAAGCCATTTCAGAACAGGACAGAAAGAAAATAACCCACATTCAGAGCTTTAGTTTTAGTTACCTTAGGATCTTTAATCCCTGTGACAGGGGATTCTCCATCCAGCTGAACAAGAGAAGCTGCCAATTTAGCCGTGTATGTTGTAATTATTATCAGTGTTGAGAAGGAAAACACAGCAGTTGTAAGTCTCGCACTAATGCTCTGTGGCTTCTTGCCTTCCAACTCAAGTTTCACTACATTACTCCAAATGTAAGACATACATGTCGACAAACTGAATTTGGTGTCCTTTTCTGCAAAGATTATCCGTTGGCGATTCGGACTTATTCTTTCCATGAGCCATACTGTTGCAAGAACACCACTGACAGTAGCCAAAAAGACAATCCACAAGGCTTTGTCAAACGGTGCCAGGAACCCAATTTCCACATTAACTCTTACTGGAGTGACAGAAATGAGCAGCTTTGTTTCTCCATGAAAAAATGGATAAGAAAAGTCAATGTATTTTTCCCTCATTCTCGTTGTAGTCAACGCTGAAAGAGCCATGTCAGTTCTGTTGGAAAGCAAATCGCCAATCATTCCATCCCATTCTTTAGAGTCCGCATTGTAAGCCCCATACTTGCCATCCCTACCCAAATACAACTCCACCGAAAGAGATAAGTCTTTTTCAAGCCACTGCAAGAGATCTATTAGAAAGCCAGTACAACAGCACTTTATCGGTGTATTTTGCTCGGAGTTGTTATCATAGTGCTTGTATTTTGTGCAAGGGTAACTCAAAACGCACTCACTGAATGTAGCCACATCTTCCTTACTTACTATCAACATTGGTTCTTCTTCAATACCCACCACTCGAAGTATTTCTTTGTGATCACAAACATTGGTCGTCCATAACGACCTTTGAAAGCTGACTCGATGGCCTGTTGCAGATCCCACGGTAGCCCATGCCACTTCCCCTGAACTTGATGAGTTCTCACGGAATGTGATGATGATATCATAACTAGTCGCCACTCGGTTTCCTTTCTCGTCGAACTGAACCCATCCTGTTTTTCCCAAGAACGCCTGATCTAGCATTTTTCTGGAGTTTTAAAGAGTAACATTTTTTAGACAGACAAGGTATAAATATGTAAAAGGAGTTAGTCTCTGATGAAATTGTGGTGCTGCGTCGGTGGGAGAGTATAACGAGGTAATTTATTATTATCAACCGCGTTGACAACGTAAATTGGCCACCGTAAAGAGTTTAAAAGCTGAAGTTTCGAGCGTTAGCGCTTCGCCTCTTTGCTCTTCGTATTAACGAAGGGCTAACGCTCAAAACGTCAGATTTTGAATTGTTTACGGTCGCCAATTTACGTTATCAACTCAGCTGATAATACAAAATTACCAAGGTATAAAAATGCCCATTAAGTGGCTCTAAGTCATAGCATCATAACAGCGTCTCTCCTAAAGAACGTTTTGTAAGGAACATTTTCTTTCATAGGGCACAAACTATACTATTTTCTCTTTCATTTCTTTTTTTTTCGATTAGGCTGTTTTAAAATCACGTTTCATGTTCCACTTTTCTTCTTGGATTGAGCCAAAGCAGCAAAGAAATTATTTCTTAAGTTTATCCTTTATTATTAATCTGGTGACTCATACTCCCACCACACAACGAGATTTGGTGCACTCGTTACCTATACCAAGACAGTATCCTGCTAACTAACTGAATCCTCCCCTGGAAACTTATTCCCATTACCCCCATCTTTCTGATAACTCTTGTCGTCGCGGAGAATCTCTAAATAACTAAGCTTGTGTCATTTCAACCCCTGTTTGTCCCCAGCCAAATCTCTTGAGTAACGGGCGAGGTAATTGCAAGATGGTTACTTAGGGCACCGATACTTTGTGCCTAATAATAGCCCAACTAAGGCCGGTATGGATGATACATTTTCTTAAACCCGGCTGGCTAAAAGATTTTTGAAACTGGTAAATTTTTAGCTGCCTCTCTCAAACTGACATAGATAATGAATTCTCAAGATCATACATTTCATTCAACTGACGTTTTTCTTCTCAAGCAAATGTTTGATCGTTCACCACTCGTTTACCTCCCCTCCGTATGGCTTTCATGTTTTACTCACCTGTATAGTTCAAATTGGTCGGTAACTTTTGAGCTGACGGATCCCATGTTGGTAAATTTATTCTGGTCGTTACTTGAATAAAGCGAGCCATTAAGGAGGAGCAATGCATCCTGCACCCATTGCTTTTTATCAAATTTTGAACGTAGGCCAAACACATTTATAGGAAGGGATATCACTTCATCAGTGCTATTTTCCTCCTCTCTAAGAAACAACCACTGAAATTGCACAGGGTTTATATTGACAGTGTAAGTAGCTTCTATGAGGAACGAAGCGTCCTGTTCACTGCAGTCCATTACAACCAAAACTGAGTTGTAGTTTACAGTGATCTTAAAAATTTCTGTCATCATTCTCGCAATGCCAATAGGCGTGTCATTAAGATGCAATTCTGTAATGCTTGAGGAGATATAAGATTTCCTTGTCTGATTTTGAATCTGTTGCAGAATTTCTGACCTGTGAAAGCTGGAGGTGAACACTGCGACATGTTGACAACCAAGTTGATCGGCAATTTTAAAAGCAATGCTAATGTGCTCCGTAAGTGTTGATGGGCTGAGGTTAATATAGAGCTGACCCTATTGAGTAAAGTGTTGCAAAAACCCATCATTCAAAATTTATGTTTTAAATATGCCAAGTATTATCAGTAACCAAGAGATTTCAACTAAGAGAACTTATTCCCGTGATGATTTTGTTTAAGTCAATTTTAAATTTCCCGCTCGGCAGTAACATAAAATGCCACTCAGTGTGCCATACCAGTTGTGGTGAATTCATCTGATTGACTGAGCTTTTGAACAATTTGCTGTTGTGAACAAAATAAAATGTCAACATGAGCCTGTCAGGTTGTTAAGTTTTGAATAGTAGATTTATACTAAAACATTTATATCACTGTTGCTTTCTATTTCTATGTTTCACCCTCATCAACTATCACGCGATTGAAATTTCGATCTCGTAACCTGATTTTTTGAATAGAGCGCGACTCTAAACTAGTAACAAAACATCTGGGAGTGAGGTACTAGTCATCCAAAAATGATAAAATAAATGGAAATGAGGGAATGGTCTAACAGGGGGAGTGGATGGCATACAAAAAATCCAGGATTACTATTTCCCGATGCGTCAACTAGAAAGGAAATGTTAAAAAATGACGAAAGAGAGAAAGAAACCGATGGATAAAGAAATTTTGGTAAATTATCTAAAACTGAAAATTAATCGATGATTTGACCCATTTAGTTTTGTCATGAAATTTCCATGCACATTGATTTCAGGACATGTTACGTTCAAACCTCTATTTCCTTCTTTTAAGCGTATAATTTTATATTACATTCCTTTTTTTATCGGTGCGTTGTCTTTACCTTACTGCTGCCTTGATCATTCAAAAAACTGACTAAGGCCAAGAGATGAAAATCTCTTGCTGCGGCTTAGTGAAGCAACCAAAACCTCATGAAAAGTATACCTTTTTTAATCAGTTTAAACCAAAAAAACTGTCTATTCTTTCTCGCCATAGCTATTTTTAATTGGTATTTCTCAAAACAGTCACCCACAGTCGCCATTGTAATGGAAAGTTTCCAATATTCATATTCGTGAGAAAACGCGAGAAGACCCTCACGAAGGTCATTGAACCAGGCTATTAAATATCTGCCTACTGTTGACCACTTTGCAAAATGGATGTATTTAGCAGTAAATTCCTCTGTTGTAATAGTCACAAGCCTGCGAGTCCCCTTCATTTAACAGTGATGAAATTATATGATTGTTCGACTAAATGCGACTAAAACTGCGACTAAATGCGACTAAAACTGCGAAAACACACACGCGAGAAATCGTACGCGTAACTTGCTTACGAACTGAGCAACGTTAAATGTCTCAGCGCGCGCTGCTTGCATGACACGCCAGTCCGGTACTTTCTTCTTAACAATGATATTCTCAATATATAGTAAAAGGATTTTCTTTAAATACCTGATACTCATCCTGCCTCAAGATACTTATGAATGGGACCACCAACAATCCAAGCGTGCCTGCGATTAACCTGTCAATGAATTTGTTACCAGACCCTATGATAGCCTTGGTTCCATTTCCTTCTTGCACTGTTCTAGAAATCGTTTCTGCGACTTTCAGAGCATCATAGAAACTAAGGTTTCCCGCAGGAAATTTTACAACATCTATGTCCAGGTTAGCACGCCATTGTGATAAATCAAGCGTCTGACTTGAAAGCACGGTGACTCTAGGTAGCACTCCAGACTCATAACAATTGGTTATCTTCACAAAGATGATATGATATATCAGTGATATCAATAAACTTGAGGCTGTGTAACAAACGCTGGATTTTGAATTCATCTTTTCAGTTTCGATGGAAAACGATCTCTCCAGGAAGCTCAGGTTCAAAGATGGAAGTTCTGAGAAAGCACGAGAAAAAAAAATCACTGCAATTGCTGAAATTCATCTAGAAAAAGTCTTAATCAGACGATTGTAGGCGCCAATGCAATTTTCTTTTTAATAAGATCTCACAATTTTGGGGGAAACCTGTAAAATTACTCCTACAGGCTACTTACGTCATCTATGGTATAAGCTTGATTTTGAAGAACGTTACCATCTCCTGACCCCAACCTTAACATGAATTAAATGCATCCAAGATTCTCTCTTTTCAGAAAGTGTGACATTATATTGTAAAAAATTTCGAAAAAAGGTTTCTACGCTCAGTTGATAAGTTGTTGGCAACATCAAAACTTAACTGTCCTTCGTGCTGAGACAATATTTAATTGAATAAACGTGCTCTTCACTTGTTCGATCTTATGTGTTAGGTAAACAACTCAAATTTCAGATTTTTTTTTCTCGGTGCGTAAGCGTGCGGTATTCTACAAATCCGGCAGTCTGATTAGCTCCAAGAGCGGGCAGTACGCTCCCTTCCTGCCCGCTCACTGCGGGCGGCAAACGTTGCAGGTTGAGTCGCCTTGAGAATTCCTCGCTTCTTTGCAACTTTTGAAAGAATGTGTTGTTTTGCCGGCCTAAAAAACGGTTTTTTATGTAATAATCCTTCATAAAAAGCAACGCAGAAAGTTAAAATATGAAGTAATTGTTTACGATGAAATGTATTAATGTTGAACCCTGTCCAGACTTCGTCGTGCCCCTATCGCTTCAAAGTTAATTAAGTTCAACAAACGGCAGATGCACCGCGTCGGATATAACGTTTTTAATTAAGTACGACGAACAATTAATTTGGACAAGCTATGACGTGCCACAAGAATCTGCGGGATAACGATTTAAATGCCGTGCCTCTGCCAAGTCAAATTAAAAATGTTGAATATATTAAATTTTGGTAGAATTGCGCTCCCGTTTGCGCACTCATTTTCTTTTTTTTCTTTCTTTTCTTGTATCTTTTTGTCTCTTTATGTTTTATTTCTTCATCTCCGTCTTATTTCCAGTGTGATTAAATTAAGTTAGTTAAGAAAAAAAAAATTAACCCACCTCGATTAGCATCTGCTATCTGCGGGGGTCAAAGAAATATCTTGTAAATATGTATGAATATCAAAATTAAAGTGTGTCAAGAGTGTATGTGTGTGTTTTTTTCAATAAATCCTCCAGCCCGACTGCTGAATCAGAGTTGTGCTTCTGCCGTGCTAAAAAAAAAAAAGTTGAACCTACTTTTAATTAAGTTCCGGCACAGAAGAAGCACGACGTCTGAACTGGGCCTAACATTCATTCATTCGATATCTGAATTCTCCAAAACAGTTAACTCCCTGTAAAACGTTGAGTAAAGTCTACCACAAATACACTTTCGGTAAGGCTTCGCTATTCCGTTAAATTTGGACATTTCTACGGCAAAATGCACATCAGTAACCGAAGCAATATTAATATCAGTTAGTGAATGCTGCATTAAAACCCGTTATGCCTTGATGACGTGTATCATTCAACTTAAGTTTTTAGTTGGAAGAAAGGCAAGATTTACGCACACCATTGCAGCAACTGACAAACGTGCACATTCTCACATCTACAAAACAAAAATTTGAATTCACTTACAATAACTTTTCCTTACTAATTAAACTAGACCGTGGTAAATCTTCGTAGAATAATCTTTGCTTGAGGCGAATAAAACTTTCCGTGAGATAACTTACTGTTTTTGAAGAATGATTCGTCCAATTAGTCATTCAACTCAAGTTTGATTGCCAAACCAGTGCTGTCGATCATTCAAGAGTGTGCATGCGCTTGTTTTTTTTGATGCACTCTTAAACTGACGGGTGTCAAATCGTGACAAGTATTTATCAAAAGAATATTTCAAAGTTTGCTTGTAAACCTTTTCAACTCACCTTTCTTGATCAGTATGAAAACGTTTCGGCGAAGCCTCCCTTTTAAATTTGCATCGGTCCACAGCCTCTGGCGACTCGGGCGGTATCTAAGAATTCGGGCAAAGTTTTTCGCTTATAAATAACCTCCAAAAAACATTTGCAGTAGTGATGATTACTATCTTCATTAGTTTCCTCCAGTCAATTCAAGAAAGCGCCGTTGGCCTGACTCATGACGCCAGATTAGATGTTCCCAGAATTTTCTCTTTTTAGGAATAGAGAAAGATTGTGTCGTAAAATAATTCGAATAACGTTTTTGCGCTTAGTTGATAGGTTGTTGACAACAACCGAATGAACTTTACTTCGTGCTGAGACATTATTGAATAAACATATTCTTCACCTGTTTCAAGTGCTCGCCCTTTCTTGTCTGTCAGATTGACAGTTGTAGATTCATTTTATATTCGCAGTCTTGATATAGTAAATTATGTTCATTGTTTTCCTAAAGGCATTTCCAGAAAGGAAATGTGTCCGCTCTATGCCCTTTATGCATTGACTTAAAAGCTTCTTCTTTGTCGAATGGGGAAGTTTTTCCACTAAAACAGGTACTCTAATTCTCATTAATTATTAACCGCGTCAGTAATTGCTCTTGCAGAAGTTATCATTTGCCTAAATGGAATAAATTATATTTGGTTTCGAACATCAATCTTTATTTTTTTGTGATAACAAGACGAACGGTAGGTTTGTCATCTATTAAAGTTTCCCATTCCTCAAAAAAATGTGGAAATAGAACTGAAGTATGAAGCATAATGTGTGAAGAAATACTGATTTCAAGAGCACGCAGTTTGGACACCACTCTCTTCTGCACATTGCCTCTTAAGCATGAATGAAATTTTTTCAAATCAAGTCAGAGCGCTACAATACCACGAAGGCAGGAATTGTCTCAGATCGAACACGCCTGCCACAATTTCCACTTCGGCTCCGCTCCTTTCTATGGTCAGTTAAGGAGTTTGGGAGTTCGTCCACTGAAACAGTTATTTCAGATCGTATCAAGTATTAACTGCATTAGTAATTTCTTTTTTAGATCCTATCGTTTACCTGAATGGAATAAATTTAATTTCCGTTTAAGTATTGAGCATATTCTTAATTCTTAATTCATGATAATATTAAAATGGAGCTGATGTATTAAAAATTCAAATACGTACACCGCAAAACGGCCAAAAAAATTAAACTGTTTGGAGTATAAATTGACAACTTTTAACCGTTAGTCATAAAAAAAGGGACTCGTAAAAATTTTTTCTTTCCCGAAAGTGTCGTTTTTCGTCAACCGTTAGCCGTAAATGGCCCAAATTTTTATTGTTGCCATAAAAGCCATCACCCCATTTAAACCCTCTGTCAAAAGGTAAAGCACAAATACCCCATGAAAATTCCTTAGCTACTTTTGACCAGAACTTGTACTGGGATTTTTTCTCTCTCCTCATACATCCAAACAATATTTGTGTTCTTGGGTGAATGAACATGCAAATGAGCAAAAATTTATCAGTCTCAAATAATATCGAAATACAGGGCTATGTTTAAAGAAGCTTTCTTTGCAGGCAGTTTTCTTGACATTAGGTGAAAAGAAAGGTGATGCACTCGCGAAAACTGGAGAGATTCAGGTGGTCTTATCGCAATTTTTTTTTTGTTCCAAACCTAACACGGCTTTTCCGTTTTCCCTGTGAGTAAATAACCAACGTTTAAGATGTCATTTCGGTGAATGTACCTACAGACGTCAGGTTTCGCTTTCCGTTACTCACATTGACTTTCACTTACAAAAAAGGGGAAAACTTCCCACTTCTTAAAATAAGACTGCGACTTTATTTTTTCTTTTTGGATTAAAATGACTTCGGAAACGATGGGGAACTTCTTTAAGTGAGAAAGAATCACCAATACTGATGTCTGGGGAAGGAGACTTCCGTTCTCACTTAGAGCTTAGAATAAACTTTCGCGAAATCGGACAAATCTCGGCCAACGCCCTTGTTGTCGCTCTCTCCCGGTTATTTCCTCTTGAGCCCATCGAATACCTAGTCTACGGTTACGTCATGGTCAATCTGTCTGCCCCAAGATACCACTGTATTATTATATTTACTATATCACAAAAAGGCTAGTAATTGAAGTTGCAATTATTAAAATTTTTATTACACCTAGTCAGTCAAGTGAGAGGGGGGTGACCTTTTTTTGAAGCTCTTTCCTTCGTTCAAAATGCGATTTAAATTTCAACTAAGTCTTTTCTTTTCATCAGAAAAACACCTGTTCCTTTCTTCAGCTTAGCCAATGGCCTGGCGGGTTTGTCCACTGCATATTTTACTTGCTTCTGTAGCTCTCGTTTTCCATTTGGACATGGCACGCCCCCATTACGACCACAGATTATTAATGAATTTGCCACACACAGAGACAGGAGAAGTGTAACTACAACTGGTTTAATCATGTTACCTCTGAAAGGAAATGAAGTCAAACATAAGTATTCTTGTACCTAATGAGGAGATGGGTTGAATACCTCTTGGCTGCAATACCCCTGACTGACCAAGACCAAGGCATTAATGTTCCTTGTGGATGCGATATCAGTCCCGTGCAGATTGTCCTTCAGCACGTTTCGCAGTGTTTCACTAATACTTTGTCTGAGCCTTTTTTTTTTAATCGGAAATGGTTGTAAGCCATTTCTTAGTTTTTGTTCTGACCCAAAATTCACTTCTTCGTTCCATCGTTCCGATCTTCCGTAAGTGTGCAATTCTTTTACTGTGTCAGGAATCTTGATGTAGCTCAGCCGATAGCTTAGAACTGGTCAAAATGTTAACAGTCTGCTAAGAAATAACGCGTTTTTAACTGATAGCTGAGATCCGAGAAAAGCAAAATTTTCTGATGGATGAAAAGCGAGCTAAAATCAGAACTGTGTGCAGACGTTTGCGCATTTGAGACACTCCAACTCAACATCCGACTCAAGGGCGAGAAGCCATCTTATATTTTAGTATTTATATGCCTCGCACACACACCCTGACTCCGAAATAGAACCCTCAAATGCTAAGAAATACAGAGACAGTGAACTGTATCTTTGAATTATCGCGACGTTATCATCATTTCTTTTTATGGCAGTAAAGGGAAAGACAAACGCAGCTCTTCAGTAATAATTGGCTTTTAAACCCTACCGTACAACAAACGGTTACGTTCAGAGCAAAATACAATCAAAAATATCCTTTTGAAGAATGAGGTAAAATAGAATTAGTTAATGGAAAACTTCATGGATCGAATCGAAGACCTATCGTTTAAGAGGAGAAGCGCTATCCATGACAAATCATAATTGCACTTGGAAGGTGCGTTCTGGGCGTAGACCTATCATAGTCACAAGGTTGATATCAAGTCACTTCAGAGCTCTCAAAATTTCTCTCTTCCTTGCATCATTTCTGAGTAAGGAGGCTCTTAGCCATTCTCATTACTAATGTGCGGAAGGGAGTTAAGTGACTCACTCAAGGAAAAAAATACACAATGACCCGAACCGAAACTTCGATCCCTGCGGAATCCAGCGCGCTACCTTCTTAGGAACCGCGTCTCCTACAAGTATTAAATGATGAAATATGTACTATACGACTGAGCTCCCTCAAGAGGATATCAAGTTGATAGTCTCTTGACTCCCTGTATTTACCAAATATGCTATAACCGCACTGAAAAGGGGTGAGACACTCCATCGAAAGACTATAAAATTGAAACAAAAGACTTTGTTTCAATTTTATGGATTGCCTGCAACACAAGAGTTGATGCACATAACATTTTCACTGCAGCTGCAGCATCAACAATTTATCGAGATTTCCAAAAAGGAAAAAATAGATGAATTCCATCAAAAACATGTTATGAGTAAAACTGCATACTGACTACTATAGTAAGTACAGTTAGAACTCATTAAGCAGTGATTCACATTTATGTCTTTTTGATCAGTGGCACGCAAGCGATCTCTTGGGCAGATTATTTGATCAGATCACGACGGGGTAAAGAATAAGTGCGTTGAAAAAGATACTTCTTAACTCTTACCGCAAACTTTTCAGTCTCTTGCTTTACTTGAAGTGTTTTGTGTTTTTTTTTTTTTTACTTTGAACTAACCTCTAGCGTCTTTTCTGGAATAGTTAAATGTATACGTGTTTTATACAAGGGTACACCATCTAATCTATGATCTGAAACGACACTTTCTAATTATACATACTTTGTTTTCTTCATTCCCCGCTACTTGTTCGTAACGTATCATTCTAATTCCATCAGATAGCGCTTTGATTGACAAACAGCGTCAAATTATCTTAACGTAAATTTATGTTGCCTTTCTTATGTTAATATGTACAAAGAAAAGCTTGATTGAAATCTGGAGAAGTAATTAGAAATGATACCTAATGGTAACTTGGTAACGTTTATGTAACGTCAAACGTAGGGTGAAGTTTGTGAATTAAACAGATGTATAGACAATATCCTCTATTTGGCGCGAACATGTGCACGGATACTTGTCCTCCGGCGTTATCAGCTCCAAGATGCGAATAATTTTCCCAGAGCGAAGTTTCGAGGAACAGATAATGTCCAAGGGCAAATATACGAGCATATTATTATTACTATAATAGTGGCTATATATTGTGTTTATTATCTATAAAATATTTGCAACACGCGTGTAAAACTGTTAACGAACAGCTTACCGATTGCTGCGTGGCATTGTTTTCTTTTGAGTCTAGTCTGGTACGACATTATGAAGAAAAAAATTTCCTCTCTTCTGTAAAAACCACAATACGCTCTCTCATCTTGAATTTGATTGTAAACAAAGACTTATCTTGGTGGACGTAAGGTTTGAAATCGAGGAATATCACTTAGGTGACATCCTCGGGTATCTCCCAGTTTTAGCTGTGGGGAGTATTTGGTCACGTGATGCGTTTAGACCAATCGCGCGTTAGGAATAATATTTGAAGGATCATATACCAATTTGACCTCAAAAGGTTTCCACAGGAGTAAATTGTCACTAAATTCCTTTGAAAAAAATTGTAAATACAGCAAATTCCTCGTAAGAGAAGTACGGCTTTCAAAATTTAAATTTTTCTCATCCTTGAAGGGCTTGCCTTGTTATCTTAAACATTAATCCGATGATTATCTTTTCCTTTACAATCACTATCTTGCCTTTGTTATGTTAATCATATGTTCGTACTAAAGCTCTGGCGTTTACGACATTGCCACCGTGTTTTCTATCTCTTGGCCCATTGGAAGAATTTTCCTGATCTTTCCGGCATTATTGTTTTCGGCAGCTTAATTAAACTGCGCTTGCGCAGTCTAGCAAACAAATTACGAGGCAGATGTTAGTCGCAATTCATTTATTTTGTATAATTTATATAATTGTTATTCACGTACAATATCTCTCTGTGATTTATCTAAAGTAGACTTCACTCGATTTTTGATCATCACAAGCTCAGTAACAAGTATTCTTTCATGGCAGAGACAATATTTTTTAACTAAAAAACATTCGTTTTAACTTTGGCCTGGCATCTCTCCTTTCTATCAACGGTACAAATGATTGCAAGGGTTCGTACACACCATCTTCACGAACTCTGTCACCTTCCATCAGTTGTTCTCGCTTGCCCGGTGGACAAGGCATTCCTCCATTGCGGCCGCACAAACCTGACCGAGTATATGCCGCAGCGATACATGAGCTCAGCAGTAACATCAGGAAAAGTGGGTTCATCACGTTGGCTTTGTGTCTAAACGGCCCCCTACGACTAACAAAAAATCATCCAAGAGAGGACAAATTAAAATGACCAAACTAAAAAAAATATACAAACAAATGGATAAATAGATAAATAATGGTGCTGAAAACTATCTGCTAGGGAAATGAAATGCCAAAAAAATAAGCAACATTAACTAACTTAATGTTGGAATCACAAAAATGTTTATTGAAATGCGGCTAATTGGTACATAATTTTTTTCAAGATATTTAGCAGAATGTCTGAAATATTATCTTTATAACTTAAGTCTTTCTCTCTTGGGCGGGTGTTTCTCAGCAACGCCCTTGCCGAGTGTCTTTTATGTAAGTTATTTTGGCAATATGATGCAACATTCTGCATGTCGCGTAATGTCACGTGAGGTCGTGTTATGTTGTGACATGTGTCACGTCAAGTAACAAGTCACATCACGCCATGTCACGCTCTTTCACGTGTTGCCACACCAAGTTACTGATAATTTTTACCAAGAAAAATAGAAATATTTCCACACAGACATTTTTTCTTTTACACATGACTAACAACGATAGTCAGAGCTTTGACACCACAGCAAATCCCGCTACTCGTATCTTATACTCCACATTCGAATCCCGCAGCCTGTCACCTTTAATTAGTTGTCATAATACTTTTTTTAACGCTGTGAATAAAATGGTAACTTGTCGGGATCATATTTATATTTAACACTTACAAGTGGATCAGCACTAAAATGACTTCACTTGAGCTTTCAAAGATTTGAAGAGCCTGAGTGAGTGAATATGAAAATAATTGTTAGACAAGAAAGGATAGAATCATCGTCTCTTGATGTAAGAGGATTCGCTGTGTGTTGATAAACATCGACACTTAGAAATCTCAGATATTGGAAACGAACGATAGCAAAACTTGTAAAATTAAGGTAAACAAGTGAAGCAAAATGATCTTAGGTACGCTAAAATGTAAATCTCTTAAAGACAATATCAGTTCCCGGTCGAAAAAAAATCAGATCCCCGAGGTCGAAATCTTTTAGTTAACCATTTCAGATCTAAGATTTAGTTACCAATGCTCTGCACTGTCTTCCATACCTTTACCATAATTTCAACCCTGAGAATCTTTATTAAGATCGACAAAAATCGCTTAGTTAGTGAATATTTTCTTCTCGTCACTTTTCTACTTGAAAACATAGTGAGACTGTAGGGCAAAATTCATTTCTGGTCACGCTTGGGAGAAAAAGATTGAAGAAAACGTGGTCTGTCGATGGCGGATTGTACTATGAGTGTGAACTCTAGTCACACGCTTTTGGACAAGTATTTCGAGGCGCTGAAAACAAAAACTAGTTTACTGTTCTTCAATAAGTAGCACAGCTTAGTATGGTGAAGAATGGACATTTCTGGGACGTTTCTTTGACGCAAAAAGGTCGTTTGCTCAGTTACGGCCAAATTACCGATAATTTCTGATGCTTCGTTCCTTGGAATAACATGCTATTATCGACCTCAGGGAAGTCAGTCATCTCTCTCCTATAATCTATATAATAATTGTAAATCGAGGTTATTCAGAAAATTCAAGAAGAAAATTTCCAGGAGGATACTTGGTGAAACTTACCTGTGAAACTTGGCCGCAAAATGCCCGTTTGCGCCCAATGCGCTGACTTTTATTGGTTCAACAAATTGACTGGATTGTAATTACGGTTTCATGGCCTGTTTGCACAACCACGCAAACCAAGGAAACGACGTTTCCTTTTTCCAACAAAGCGCATTATCATGCGATATTGGTAATGCGATTAATAATTACATATTGCTTCTTTTCTTCCGATTGAAAGTTCTGAGGGTGGCATTTGGACTTGTAGCTAAAAGAAAAACTGTTCAAATATCTTAAATACAATATTAAAGATCGTGACATCGTGAGAAACCCAGCGATCTACAACATGTTGTGAATAATAGAGCAGAATTGTCCGGTAGTGCAAGCTACAAAACTTACATCAGCTCTATTTTATTGAAAATGCTCATGTAATGAAACTCGAACCATAATTAATGCCTCAATATGAGCTTGTTGTCTATTTCATTTGATTAGATCATGAAATGGGTACAATATCCATCCCGGCCCTGCAATAATAGAGGTCCTTCTTTTTAACAAAAGACTGCTGAAGATTTAGAAGCTAGAAAAAGGACTACTGACCTCCTCCAAATGAGCATTTCTACCAAATCATTAAGTCTGCTCCTTTTCATAGATCATTCTCCAAACTTTATCTCCAATTCTCAGAACCCAATTAACGAACACGCCTTTGGCAAAAAAGGAGGCTTTTGATGCTTATTTTCTCTGTTAGATTGTCACTCAGCTATTTTAATTTTATCACTCTAGATGGATAAACTCCCCAGACTTGGGTACCAATCGTTTCAACCATCTCCATCATTCTGTGGTTATGCAAAGATTTCAGCGATGACTACAAAGATTCAAAGCCCGATAATGTACATCAAACAAGATGGTTAGAGTTGTTTCTCTCCGAGCTGAGATATTTTTGTACAGTTAGTAATTTTCACTGATTGCTGATTCATAGTAGTGAAACAAAAAGTTAAGATACATGCAGTGGACACAGCTTTATCAGACCATTATCTTATTATTATTTTCTTAAACTTTTGATCATTTATTTTATATTGCATGACGTACCGTACTCTGATAAAGCCAAAATTTATATCAATAAAGTTTCCCGAATACAGTTATGTAATTTAACATTACCTGACTCGGTTTTTTTATGATAAATGTATCGATCCTGATTGATTTTGAAAGTTAATATGATCATCTTGGTTATCGGGGCCTTTGGAAATGTGGGAAGTAATATCGAGCCAAACCTATAGTTTAATCCGCAGAATTTCAAATCAAATCAGATGAAACAAAATGAGAGTATTGTCTTTAGCCGCTTAATTTTGCCAGAAAGCAATTTAAAACACAATCATCTTTCAGTTAACCTTTCTGTAAGTCTTTTAAATAAGCTTCCTGGCGAGAATATTGTTTTTGCAGCAATGATTTTACGGTGCGGTTTTCAACTTGGATTTAACACCACTCTTAATCGTTATTTAACAAGCTAGAATTTCTTAATTTTGATCTGACATGGCAAAGAACAGCTAAAACCGTTTTTTTTCTAAGATAAAAAAAGAAAACAGTTACTTTTCGCACAAGTTACGGCATCGCTTCGTCGAGAGGATAGTTGAACATTTTGATTTCTTGAGAATATTTCAAACAATCAGTTAACCCAAGAGCTAATTTGATTATATGGTTCACTTTGTCGCATGCAGCTCAATTCCTGCAAACTAATCGGAAAATCTTCGTGAGAAATACTTAGCTAATACTTATTTCATGATCAGCTGCAATTTATCTGCGAAATGAAATGAAAACGTCACCTGGAAAGAAGAACTGAACCAATATTTCAACTTTCATCAGTGATAGTCTGAGGGCTGCTCAGTTCAATATAATCTGGTATCTTTACAGTATGTAGCAAGAATTTGTTTGTGTCCCTTTTATATCATTTGTCATACAGTTCACCAAAGTAATCACTTGGTGTTCAAAAAATGGACATGGAAGAACAGAAGAGAAAAAAGATGACGAAAAAATAAATAAAACAGGAAAAGGAGGAGAGTATCTATCTATAGACTAATGGAGAAAATTTCATCCGGAAATTCACTTTGTGTCTCCTTCCCTTGTTGAAAATGTATAGAGGTAGGAAATGATACCTGTATATTCTGGGTATATATATTCTTTGTATATTCTGTCAGCATACAAATATCAAATTTCATCCAAGTATTTCTTAGACTCAAACAAATCCTTTAGAATAATAACTATTTCTCGAGTTGCAGTTTATTAAGTTGTCAGGTATCTTTGTCAAGTCATCTTAAGAGGAAGTTCTATAGAGTGATTTTCAATTTTCTAAGTTCCCCTGACAAGTTCCTTTGTTTAGGAAAAAAATGACATGTCACAATAGGATGGAGAGGGAGTGGAAAGATGTAACATGAATTATACATTTTAGTGAACTGCAGAAATATATCTTACGAAAATTAAAAAGAAGAGGAGTAGAAAAACTAATCATGACAGGGGAAGATTCCGCGTGAAAATTGTTGAACTACACTACTCTTGGTGGAGCTTCCTTTTTGTCATAAAAAGGTGGAACTTAAAAAAAAAACAGCGTGCAGCATTTTTACTCTGATGTTGCTAATTTCTTCTCTTCCTTTTTGTTTGTTATCTTTATAGAGCGTACACAGTTACTGACGACCTAATGTTTTTCTCAGCACAGGTAACAAGTGAAAATCACCAGGGCTACTTGAAACTGAGGTCACTGTTCAGAGATCCAGCACATTAAACCAACCAGCAGACCAGCCTTCTAGTTCGCATAATTCAAGCTCTCTGATTGGTCCAGGATGTTCGTTACGTGCCACCTCCTCACCCAATCAGATGAAAAGTAAAATCAACCACCACTTGTTCACTTGCACTTCCCGCGATTCAAACACTTGTTTTTACCTAATTTCCCAGTAATATTCCGATTTTTTTGCAGCCATTTCGCATGAATTTGGGTTTGGTTCTTGCGGCTCTCAATCTAAAAGCGTTCCAGACTGAGTTAAATGCTGTACCTGATTAATTGCTGATCCTGATGGGTGGGTCCGAATTATAGCGCTGACATGGGTAGCTGTTGACAAGTGCTCTAATTTTTCAGTTCTTCGTCTTACAGACGTAGGTACGTGACAAATTGCAGTCTACATCATTCCACTTGCCATTTACGGTCAACGCACAGTTTTCTTTACCTCTGCTATTATTGGGATTACTTCCACCCCAGTTTGCATATCCGCCCCAGTTTTCACCGTCCAGCCAGACCCAGGTTCCCTCCAGGACAGTGTCACTGGCTCCAATCCAAATGGTCGTATTAGTAGGAGCTAAAGAGGCGACAAACTGATTCTCTTCAAGAGAATGAATTGTAACCAATATGGAACCCAAATCCGAACAATGCTGCTTCGCTTTGTCCCACTTTGTTTTGACGTTAAAAAACTTATAGCACGACAGGTTGAACTTTTTCCACCCGTCTGTCAGGCTGCAGACGTCTGCAGAGGACAGCAAATTATTGTATAAATTTCTTTTCTTGGGAATTCCTTTTATTAAAGCTTTGGAAACAGGAAAGATTAAAGGAGAAGAGATGGGAGAAGTAAGAGGAGAAGAAAAATGATGAGATTGAAGGGAAAAAAGGAGGAAGAAGGCTGGAAAAACAACAACAAAAACAACTATACAACATAGACACCATAGCATCTATTTTATCACTGGTTAGAGTCTGTCAGGTCACTAACGCCGGTCTGCCACATAAAATGACTTACGAGGTACTCTTTACCGGAAACTTTTTAAAGATGCGATTTTACGAATTTAAGTCTTACCAAGTCACTTTTGATTCTTTCTCATCGAGATGTAAGGGTTTTAGACGGTAAAAACAAAAAGAAAAGAAATAATAAAAGTAGAGTTGGAAAAAACTGAAGAAATAGGGTGAAAAGAAGAAAAGGAGAAGTAGTTAGATAAATTAATTAGACAAATTAAGAAAGAAAAATGAAAGGAAAAGGTAAAAAAGAGAGAAGAAACTGATGTTGTTAAAATTTCTGGTAACGGAAACCCACATCCCCTTAGTCCGGTGTAGCTAATGGCATCTGCAAGATCTGTGAAAACTTAATAACGGCACTTCATTTTCAGCCAAAGCTTTGTGTAGTACATAAGCACGACTCAAGATGGACCGTTCAGTATATAACATATCTTGGTGTTTGCTAAACAGTTACTGGAGAGTGCATTTTGTATTTTATATTACCTTCATGACAGTTCTTTCCCTTGGAACCTATTAGACATTGACATTCGTAGTTTCCATCGCCATAGTTCGGCTTGCACATCCCCCCATTTTTACACGGTTCTGCAAGACATGGTGTCTGAAAAGAAAAATTGGAACACTTGAATGCGTAACAAAGTCCCTGTGGTCAACTCGATAAGTCAATTAAATGAGATCAATAAAGGTTACAGAAATTTCAGTCTGTGAAACGTCACCTTGTGAATTTATGACTTCAGCTCTTTGATCCGACGCCATAATCAACGGCGTTCAAAACAACTCACTTTTGACGGTAGGTCAAATAAATAATTTACGTTTAAAATAAAGTTCAAAGATTTGGCTTGTGATGTACGTGGCTCTTGATATGCAAACAGCTAACAAAATTATTTTAATCGTGCTATACGCAAAATTAAAATTGCTCTCAAGAAGCCTAAGGAAAAAATGTCTTGCTTTCTTGGTGGGATGTTTATTTCCTATAAATTGAATTGGTTCTTTTTTCAGTTTTTCGGTGAGTTTAGATGAATTAAAAAAACCAAGGTATTGTTGTCATAGCTCTGCACTCACTTAACTTACTTTTCATCGGGTCTCTTTACTCACCATGATGGAAAAGTGATGCGAAGTTGAGTTTTCTTGAAAGCTTTTCGAACTGACATATTTATCAGACGCCATCATCTCGCACCAAAACAGTTTGCTTTTGTCAAAAGAACTTGCCACATTCACAGAGAGGCAAGTCGAGTCCTGTACACATTTAAAGCAACACTCGTCGAAATTTTGCACAGGGAATTCATCGGAAATTCTTGTTGCGTTTAAATAATGGAAGCTGTGCTGGACAAAATTTTTGAATTGGAACTTGGAGTTGAGACAAGATTGAAGGCTCTCTACCTGCTTTTGTAAAATATTGTTCAATAAACAAAACGTCAAAATTTTGAAGTGTAGAGTCGGGAGTGCCATCATTGAATCCACAGCCGAATCAGGTGGAAGAATTGAAAGACCTACGGAAAATTGAAAACAAGCAGCGTTAATTGATGAGAATGTTTCAAGCAAGGCTTGCTCAATTTGCCGAAAAGTGATTATCGCAAGGGAAAGTTACGCCAGAAACTACATTTCTTCCCTCCTTGCCATGGCATTAAAAACTAGACTTCAACAATTTCTTTCCCTGTTGTTTCATCCAAACTGATTGCAATAATTAATTATTTAACTGGATTAGGAAAATAGAACAGAAAATAGTTTACCGGGTAAATGCAAATGATGTGCCCGACTATTTTGAATTAACTTCTTTCGTGAACCCGTCGTATATACATAAAAGTGAACCGAAACACCTTAAACCGAAAGCAAAAATACACCAAGTAAAAAGTATGCAGCGTTGTGATACTAATGTAAGATTAAAAAGAGGCACTTAAGGGAATTAAAAATTAGCATTACCTGTCTATTTAAAGCAATTACCTTTCCCTTGTTTAGTCGTCAAAAGCGTTACAACTTTGAGTTTGAATAGAAACATCATAAAGATCATTTTGTTCCATACACATCTTCCTGCTAAAAGGACTGAATGCTGTAAGAATATCTTATTGAGTAAGTTAAAAGTAGCAGGTTTGTTTTGTTGTCGTTCTGTCCCTCAATTTTTTTCTTCACGATTTTGTTTATTTTACCAATTTCACAAAGGTTTAATTCTTGTTTACCGGACTCTTACCACGACAAAATACTCTCTTGCAACGAAAGAATTTCTAATTTCTAAATGATCTTTGTAACTGCGATATTTTCAAATTATAAGGGTTAAAAACCTATCTTGGACTATTTCTCCATAGTCCATTTTGCAAATTCTAAACGTTATGATGCAAATTAATATTTGCAAAGAATTCACTTACCTTTGTACTTTTGTTGTAGCTGTACTCAGCTAGTTTAGAACGAAGACACGTAATTTTCTTTTCGCAGTTGGTAGCGCCTTTAGGCTTGAAGTAACCTTGGTTACATAATAAAAAAAGTTTAATTGACAAACGCATTTTCTTTGTTCCTTTTCATCTCTTAATAAATCAATGTGTTATCTTTCTTCGTAGACTGTCTTACTATTCTGAAACACATTAAGTTATTGTGTAGGAAAATAAATTCATTATGAAAACTGGCAGTACTACATTAAGAAAAACATTTAGAATTTATTTTCAAATCACATCGTCATTTTCAAATATTAGCTGTTTCCAACACGTATGAAATATTTATATGACTTCACAGTCATATAAATATTATACATGAGACAGCTCGTGAACTCAGCTTGCTTTTCTGATAAAGCTCATTATAAATACAAAGGGCTGAAACACCTTTCATGACTACTAACTCGGTGGCTTATCCTTTATCTTAGTTTCTCTTTGGTGTGTTATTACTCGTATTCTGTAGATGCAACATACTACATTTAATATATTATCGCCAAACAGAGAACTTTGTTAAATCAGTCAAAACTGCTCTAGTCCAATCAAATAACAGTGGAACCTCGATTTAATGAACCTCTATATCACGAAGTCCTCGGTATATCGAACGATACTCTTCAGCCCGGCCAAAGTTATAGTAAAATGTATGGGAAACAACCTCGATATAACGAACCTCGATATAACGAAATCCTATTTATAACGAACGCAATCCAGAAGTCCAAACTTATAATATACCCCGGTATAACGAACAAATAGGAGCTATAGCTGTAGCTTCTTATAGACATTAAAGCACAAATGTCATCTACAGTAACCGTTCCGATCCCAAAATGCTGGGTAACGCGACGTCACTCCACAAAAAAAATAATGATCAAAAATAAAATTATCAACCAACCCTTGACATAACGAACAATCTGGTTATTTTTCCGCAAATTAGTTAAATCGAGGTTTTCGATGTAACCAGGCAGCCCAAGCTCCAGCTGTGAGATGATCATCTTGCGAAATAAGAGTCATGGCGAGTTTTTAATGGAATATTTACGACCACTGTTAGGAACAAAAAAAAATATAGTCGTTTTCTCAATAAAAATACTTCACCCTACTTCCACAGTGCATCGCTTGTTATCTGACCAATTACTATGTTGAAAAGAACTCATTTTGGCGAATTATTTATTTCTAGGTTTACTACGTACATAATAAGAGCTTGTGGGCCGATTGTGATGTAACGAACCCTTGATATAAGTCCCTTGGCACTTCGTGAAATCGAGGTTCCACTACATAAACATCATTTATAATAAGTTTTGTCGCATAATACTGAGAGGAGAAAGTCATACAACTTATTATGGGAAGGGGGGGTGGAATCGGAGCATTTTATTTGTGTCACGATGAAATTTTTTCTTATCACTTCATAGGGCTGTCCTATTCTTCTTCCCCCTCCCCCCCACCCCGACCATTCAAAGGCAGTTAAATTTTCAAAAGTTCTCCTCTTTAAACTCTGTTGGCGACAACTGATCCCTCCCCCGTTTCCCCATATCATTCCCCTTAAAATCCTCCGCCCGCCCCCCCCACAAGCGATAAATATGACTGGTCCCCTACCCAAATGATACTCTAGTTTACGTATCATTTGAGCAAACCAAGGAAAACCCGAAAGTCTTTTATAATTCAAGTTCACTTGTATCATGTATCAATGCCAATTAAAATGTAAAATGTAGTAGATGGAAATAACTTCGTCGTTTCTATCCAGAGAGTCAGCCCCTAAAAGTTGGCATTTGAAGCTTCCGTCATAGTAATTGGGCTCACACTTGTGTTGATCACTACGAGGGTCCTCATCACATGGTGTCCAAAAAAAATGATTTGATAACTAGTAATGGAGAAAGCTCCTCGGTATTCAAGACGCAACGTTCCCTGAAGTCCTTTTAAAGAACCTATCTAATTTGTCATAAATTTTTTTCACCCAGAAGGCTTAAAGCACTTCGGTTTATTTTTGCAGCATGACATTTCCAACGGAAGACAAAATTTCTGAGGAAAAGCTAGCAAAAGGTTCAAATCCTCTGAACGTTCGAATTATTTTCCGTAATTGCATAAATTATAATCTTCAATGCGAGGATCGGTTTAACATGTCGTGTATGATAATTCGTTTTGTTTATCTCATGTATGCTGTTAAATGTTCCTGCTTCGGTCTGCGATAAAATGAGAATATTTCCTGAAAATTTATTTTGAAAGCATTTCTTCAGTTCAATCAATGAAATAAGAATTCTAAAAACTTTAAACCAAAATGTAAGAAAAAAGGGGGGAAGAGGTAGAATATTGGGTAAAGTGTCGTGATGAGAATTTTCGAGAACTGCGCCATTTTAGGCGGCCAACTTCTCATACCCCCACCCCTCCCCCACAATTATCTCCACCCCCCCTCCCCCAACAATTATCCCAACCTCGTCAAGCTGAGATCCTTCAGTGTAGAGTATCAGATTTTTCTTCATTCACCCAAATCTGAGATTGATTATTTCTGTATAGTATATAATTTATTCAAAACAAGTTATTACCCTTTTAATTTTATCCAAAAGTCATTCACTGAAAGTGTTTTGCTCTTACCTTAATTGAAAAATTGGCGAATTTGAGTCCGCTTGAAAGCTTTCCGAACTGAAATATTTGTCAAAAGCCAGCATTTCGCACCAGAATGATCTGTCGCTAGAAGAACTTACCATATTTACAGAAACACTGAAAGCCATAACACGTACAAGGGGATTATAGTTGGATTGAGAAAATCATAACAGAAACGGCACAGGTACTCTACTAACAATGCAAAAAAAATAGGTGTTTTCAGCTGCTACTTTGTTGTAACCCTTACAGTATGTAAACCGTAAAACGTTTCCTATGTAAATCAAGCAAAATTTGCCAGGCAGAAAGTTTATAACCAGGGAGGGGTAACTAGGGATAAGGATATGAGGGTCTCAGTAGGGTAATTAATGGCTTTTACAGCTAACAGTTTTAAACTATTCATGGAAAATTACGCGCGTCTGATTGGCTGAAAAGAATGCAGTTTTCATGAAACACGAGTGCCAAGTTTTAACACGGGTGCAAATTATAAATAGCGCGCTGCCAAAATTTCGTCCGTCTTCAACTTCCGAGATGCGTTTGTCATGTAAATTATTGACAAGTAACGACGGGATTTCTCGTGCAATTTGGTGTAAATAAGCACCGGTAAATTTTTTCAAAGACTACACATTGCACTCGCCCTATGGGTTCAAGTAATTTTTGTGTCTTTGAAAAATTTACTTGCGCTTACTACAGCGCTCTAAAAAATTGCACTCGAAATCATGTTGTTACCTACACAAATTATGGCTATTTTACGGCTGACGGTTAATGTATTTCCGTTACGGTAAAGAGAAATGCAGAGAATTTATTTCAGTCGTCTACGACAAATCGTTTACCTTTCAGGTCAATCCCGGAATCAAAAAAGAAGTTCATAGCAAAGTAATTGTGGTACAAGGTACACTATAAGAATTATATGGGAATCTAGAGCATACTACTTCACTAAAAGTGTTATTATGTGTAGAGAAATGCAATAAATAAGAAACAATCCAGCATTTTAATACTTCCAAAATGACACATCGTAGATGGTAAAAAGTTTGGTAAACTTTGTGAAGACTAACGGTTAAAATCTGTCACTTTTTATGGCTCACGCAGAAGTTTTTGGCCGCTTCACGATCCTTTACGGCCAAACGCGAACGGTTAACCCCGTATGCCAGAATCCATTCAGATTATGATGTTTATTCATGGTTGGCTGGTAGACGTAAACATAATTAAAATTAAAATTAAACCCCCCTATGATGGAGCTGTTGAAGTCTGTGTCTTAGGTGCCTACGAGGATACCAGCGAAAATGTGCGCGGAGCGTTACACTTTGAGCGTTACCACCTGATTGCGTGACTTCCCAACCAGATGATTCGTCGTGAAGCGGTCGTGACTTGTCGGAGATGTTTTGTCACATCACAGACAGTAATCAAATATGGCGGTTGTCGTCAGTCAAACTTGATTCTTTTCGGCAGTTGTTCATGCACTTCGTTTCTTCGAGGTAAAAAAGAAACAAAAAAAACATGGCTTCAATTTTTCGGGCTTCTCTCCGCCCGTTTTTTCGAGCTGTTGATCAAACATTCTTTCCAAGAAGCTGTCCCGTGCGTTGGAAATCTGCATCGTCACAAGCTCAGGTGAAGTTATTAATTTTAAGAAAACGGATCACGAATCGAATGTGTAGTTATATTATCACTTCTTATTTCTGGCTTATCTTCAGAATTTTTTTGAAGGTCACTATTTCGACTCCTTACAAGAACTACGAGGTCATGTATTTCCAAAATACGACTACTCCTAAAAGGATCGGTTAAGGAAGACGTGTACGTGTAATGTCACGAGCATTTTGTCTGATCGAGCTATAGTAACTTTCTTGGGTTAGATCTTTATCCATTTCGGGGTGCACGATGTCATCATTTAAGAAGTTCCTTTAAGGGGATCTTGGATTTCCTTTCTTCTCTCGTGTTTATTCCGTAAACCAAGCGTGTGAACTGTTTCTTGTTTTTGTTTGGTTCAAATGAGTGTTTTTTTTCATTGTTATACAGTTTTATTTCCTATTGGGACGATCTAATTTTTGTCCGCAAATCTCTCCTTCCCTGTCTAGGATATGTTATGATTCAAAACCATTAGTTTTTTAGGTACCATTTTGAGAAGTTAAAGCTGATCAGAAAGGATTAATCTTCTTAGACACGTGTGGGAAAAAAGTCGGAAGGTTCAAAATTTTGAAAGCTTGTTTACAACCGAACAATTTGAACTCTCCTTCTCCAAAATCATAAAGCTTAGCGAAACAAGAGAAAACCATATTTTAAAAAAGCCAATAAATTTTCAACCTAAGCATGATATTAAACCAAGCTGACTTTTGTAAACATTCAACCTTTTTTTAATGTTAGAGAATAATATTTAACTCACAGGTTAGTTACGCAGGCATCAACGATGACATAAGAGGAGCCTTTGAGCACATAGTAGGTGGAAAAAATGTTTCATCTGCAATGGTTGTAAGGGAACAACATGGGAAAGATGAATCACACCACAAATGTCATCCTGCGGATCTTGTTGTGTGGCCAACTAACAGAGAACAAGTCATCCAAGTGGCCAAGCTCTGTAATGATTATTGTATTCCATTGATTCCTTTTGGATCTGGAACAGGCCTGGAGGGAGGTGTTGTTGCAAAAAAGGTGCCAAATGCTTGTAAAATTTTTTCGTTAGCTATAATTACTTAATTAATTAATTATTATTGTGTGTACTTAACCATTTAAACCCTAAGAGTGACCAGCATCTCATTTCTCCTTACAGTAATACTGCTGAATCATTCACTAAGATCATGAGAATAAAGGAAATGCTTGCCAACTTAAGAAGATTTGATATTCAAATAAATTCAATTTGTCAGTACCAAAAGAAACATAGAGTAAAATATGGATGCTGATGTTAGGGTGTAAAGGGTTAAAGAAACAATGTTACACCTGCATCAGTTCTGTATCTATTCTTGATATTCCCAATACACAAGTGCATTAAAATTTCAGATCAATTTCTGAGAAACTGTGCACCTATCCCCACCTCCCCTCCCCTAGCCCAATAACTGTGCAGTTGCTAACTGATGACACTGATCCAATCTTTTTGACAAAATATTTTTTTTTTTGTTGGAGTTTGTCCAGTATTTCCCTGGGTCTGTGGTCTTAACCCTTTTACTTCCAAAATCTTATTTTTAATTCTCCTAAGTGTCTGCCATGATCTCATAATTGATGTTATTCTTTATTCTCACCACATTTTTGCTTGATATTTTATTGATAATGTAAGGAGAAGTTCTGCCTTTGTCACTCATTGGAGTTAAAGGGTTGATAGAATTTGATTTATGACTTCATCGAAAAAACTCAGCCAATTTTACCTTCCTGTTTCTCTTGTGTCTCTACCTAAAACTTGAACACTTCAAACATTTCTTCATCATTTCAGATTGGTTGATGAAAAATGCTGAATATTTTGTCTTCTTTTTCAGGGTGGTGTCAGTGTTGACATGACAAAAATGAATGAAATTCTTGAGGTGAATGCAGAAGATTTTGATGTCACAGTACAAGCAGGTGTTACAAGGAATCAGCTAAACAATTATGTGAGGGACACAGGGCTGTGGTTTCCTGTTGGTATGTAACACTGTCACAGCAACTTTTTTCAATATTGAAATGTTTTTACAGAGGTGGAGGTGAATATTGGAGGATATTTACCCAGCCATTGAGAGGTGAGGTAGATATCAACCATTTTTACAAACACTGAGTTGAATAATTGTTTCAGTATATACCATACAGAAGCCAAAAGATTAGTTTATTTTATTATTATACTGAAAAGAGGTTAGAAATTGAACCCTTGACGCAAAATTGTGTCTCTTTGACTGCTCAGAGATGAATAGTATGTGGCAACACTTACAAACCAGCTAATCAGTATGTGCAAAAAGAACTTTTTATCCATGTGGCATATACTAATTAGGTAGATCATAATTTCTTTCTTTCTTCTTTTTTGGCTTTTTATAACTGATTAATTTCATGTTTAGATCCAGGAGCGGATGCCAGTTTGGGTGGTATGGCATCAACAAGTGCATCTGGAACAAATGCAGTCAGGTATTCAATTATTGTGCAGCAAAAATTTAAATGGAACTGAATATCAAATGTATACATGTATATTGTTAGTGAAAACCTGAGCAACAATTTAGGCTGGAGGAAATGTTCTATGTGGCTTTGCTGGTAAATATGGAGACTGCTTATTGTAATGAAGCATAAACCATTGAAAGGAATCAATACTCCCTTAACTTAAGTCCTGCATTTTAAAAGTAAATTTAGCAATCATTTTGCTCTGGCAGTTGAAAAATTAACAATAATCTGATATTGATTAGTATTTTCAACACTTTTGTAGGTATGGGACCATGAGAGAGAATGTTATGAACTTGGAAGTAGTTTTAGCAGATGGAAGAGTTGTCAATACTGCTGGAGAAGGGCGAAGAACTAGGTACATTGTTCAGTGGCTGAAGTTCACTTAACTTAAATGTACTTGATATTTAAATAGGCTCAGCATGGTGACAGGGAGGTCTTTAATTTCTCTCCTTAAGAGACATGAGGAGCATCAGCTAACCACTGGACTAATCTCAGTTGTTTCTCCACTGCAGAAAGACATCCGCTGGATATAACCTTACAAACTTGTTTGTGGGTTCTGAGGGTACCTTGGGAATTATCACAAAAGTGACACTAAGGTTGTATGGGATACCAGAATCGGTATGTGCATGTATTAACTTTCTTAAACTAGTTTCTGGTGCCTATCGCTCTACTCCCTAAGCTCTGTTTGCATATTCTCGGTACTGTTCTCAATAAATTTCCTAAGGTGCTGACAAGGAGAATCTATGTAATGATTAAGAGCTTCTTTTTTTGCTGATTATTTCCTCTATTCTCATGAACTTATATGGGATTCAGGGGTGATATTGTGAGGAGAAATTAGATGTTAGTTATTTTAAGGGGTCAAAGGACTAAGCATAGAGATGCAAACTGTTTCAATTTCAATTTTCAATTTCAATTCCTGTTTTCTCATCACCATATAATTTATTCCTGTTTTCTCGTCACCATATTCCCACCAATGGCGTAGCTCCACTTTCCACATATAAATCCACACACAACCTACAATTCCTCTAATTGCTCTGACGAAGGGCTAACGCTCGAAACATCAGCTTTTTTACCCTTTACGGTGGCTAATTTACGTTTTCAACCCAGTTGTTAACACTAAATTACCTGTTTCAATAATATGTTAGGGAAGCTTCAAACTCACATTTTTAGTGATGCTTTTGGGAAAACATTTTAATAACTGTATGGATGGAATCTTTGGCTGTAGATTGTAGACCACAGCACTCTCCTTGAATAATAGAACTGGGAGAAGTAGAAGGCTGTATGGACATGTATTTTATTTTTCTGGGTACAAAATTGCTTATTATGTATCAAGACAGCTTGTTTTAGTCTCAATTTGTATATCTGAATTACAGACAGCTTCGGGAGTGTCATCATTTTCTGACGTCAAGTCAGCTGTGGATGCTGTGGTAGAAATTCTACAGAGTGGCATTCCCATGGCTCGTATTGGTAAATTGACTTTAAACCCCTAAATTTTTTATAATTTTATGACTATTTACTGATGAAAAGTGTTAGGTTTTTTAAAATAATTACCCTGTCTTTTAAGAATTATGTTAGTCAGTTGTTTGATTGCTTCCAAAACTCTTGGTTCTGTACCACATTCCTAAAGCTTCTGATCATTATGTAACTGATACTTGCTTCAACCTTTTGTCAACTATTTTGGAGTGCTGAATGTTTGTCCCTACATCTAGATCCTAATCATGCTGTCAAATTGAGTTCTTTGTAGGTTTTAAATGGACTTTTTGTTGCCTTTTTCATGTACAGAGTTTCTTGATGATGTGCAGATTGATGCTTGTAACAAGTTCTCAGGACTGAATTACCCTGTAACTCCAACACTGTTCTTGGAGTTTCAAGGGTCAGAGAATGGGGTCAAGGAGCAAGCCTCTGTCGCAGGTCAGATGAGAAGCTGACATTAACCCTTTAACTCCCAAGATCTGATTGTTAATTCTTCCATCCAGCTGGTACACATTTCCTTGTAAATAAGTCGCGTTTGGCATTAGATCAAGATAACAACTACCTGATAAGTTTGAGTATTCTCATTACCTGTTTTCTGGATAATGTATGGATATTATAAGGAGAAGTTACATGTTAATCCCTTCTGAGAGTTAAAGGGTTAATATAGGTCTATGTGCAAGCGTACATACTTAATTTATTTTTAAAAAAGGAAATTTTATATGAAGTCTAAGGACATGGTAAAGTAAGTTACATACGTTTCAGGGCTATTTTTCCTCAATTCATTTGGAAAGATGCCTAGGAATTACTGGTAGCAAAGTGGACTCTATATCAAGAGGATCTGATAGTGTCTTGGTGTGGGTCATCATGTTGTGTTCTTGAACAATGCATTTTACTCTCACAACGTCTCTTGAAACCCAGGAGTAGAATGGCTGCTGGTAAATTATCTGGGAAACTTGACACTAACAGAAACTTATAAGTTATAACCTCTCATTCTACCCAGGAGGACTACTAGAGATGCTGCTGCTTGCGCTGAGCTACAGAAGCTGAGATATTAGCTGCAGCTGTAATTGGCCACTAAGTTTGCATGACATACATGTACAGTGTAACACTTTTCCTTCATGTGCTGTAGGTGAGATTATTGAAAGTAATGGTGGGTCTAAGTTCCAGTGGGCCACAGAAATTGAAGAGAGAAATAAATTGTGGAAGGCACGACACAATGCATGGTATGCTGACATGGCTCTTAGACCTGGTTGTAAGGTAAGAGTGAAACATCAGTCTCATCTACTTCTTGAAGTTTCTAACTTTGATCTTTTTATCTTAATTACTTTACACCTTTCCTCATCGTCAATATCTAATTTTGCACCAATAGATGCATGCAAGTTGTGTATTTAAATTTTTTTTTCCAAATGGTGCCATGGTGATGTACTTAGTGTAACTTTAAGCCATTTCTTTCAGAGTTGTATTTGTTTCCATTCTTTTTCAGGGAGTATCAACAGATGTCTGTGTACCCATCTCACGACTGCCAGAGATTATCGTGGAAACTAAAGAAGATATCATGGCTTCTAACTTAATTGGTGAGTTTCACATGAGTATGAACCTGCCTCGCCCCGGCCCCCCTACACACCTTAACTTCCAGGAAAATTAGTATCTGTTGCTCATGGTTAATAACACTGTACTCGTTCATTTCCAGCCCCTATTGTTGGGCACGTGGGCGATGGAAACTTCCATTGTTTTATTCCCGTAAAACCGGATGACGAGGAAGAACTCCGGGTAGCGAAGGAATTCACCCTCAGATTAGGAAGGTAAGAACACTCTGGATTAAAGGTTTTCCTTGTCCTTTCTATCTAGCTCCAATTGTTGGACATGTGGGAGATGGAAATTTCCACTGTGTGTTGCCTCTTGACATGGGATGTGAAGAGGAAGTGCGGAAAGCGAAAGGTTTTATAGATAGACTAGCCAGGTAGGTCCCAGGCCAAGTTCTTGTGTTGCGCGATACAGACAATCCACCATGGAATACTCCTTGGAGTACGTTAAAGAATCCGTACTCTTACAAAGTTAAAAAAACGAAGTTTTCAAGCCTGCAGTGCAGGCGTCTTGTTAGTGCGAGCTAAAGTTGTAAGCTCGCGATCGTTTATCCGACCGGCCATGTTTGATTTGAGGTTTGAGTGGACGGTGGGGGTAGTGCAATCTTCACTCGGGCGATAGACGGGTGATAAACAGCTCTTTCGCCTGACATCACCGTCATTTTGCGCACCCGGTTTTTTTTGGGGGATTTTTTTTTGCCCGCTTTTTCGCTCACTTTTACTAACTAAGAGGCTAAATGACTGTGAACAGGATATGATATATTCTTCACGGTACCAAAATTTCTCTTTCTTCTGTCACCCAGACGAGCCCTTGCCATGGGAGGCACGTGTACTGGAGAACATGGTGTTGGGTGTGGCAAGCAAGCTCTGTTACCTGAAGAGATTGGTGCAACGGGTGTGCAAGTCATGAAAGACATAAAGAACTTGTTCGACCCGAATGGGATTATGAACCCTGGAAAAGTATTCATATAAAAAAGGCGATCTCTCGTGTTACACACAACGAAACATAGAAACAAACTAAAGTTATACATAAGCATAAACGAGAGGAAATAAATGAGTGATTACCAGTTGTTTTAAACTGGATAAATGATCGCTGATCACTAGACTCCGTTCTGAGTATAAGTTATACCTCTTACTAAGTAATTCTTCTTTTCTTACTTATCCAGCAAAAGTTACCAAACGTGAAATAGATTTAAAGATTACGGAAGAGATATGCATATAGTCAGAGAGGTGTTGTTTAAAATTAGTGTCCGTAAATCAACTGTGTAACTTTTGTGTTCTTTAGAGGGGTAAATGTTTTCCAAGTTCCGAAATGACTATCAATTGATTACTAGCTACCGTAATTTCAAGGCGACTAAGTTAACTCTTTAACTCCCAAGATCTCATTAGTAATTCTCCTTACTGTCTGCCATACAGTTCTCATGATGTTAGTTTGGAGAATTTGGTATTGGATCAGCTTATAATCCCCTAACTGATATTTTTCTCTATTCTCATCACTTGTCTGCTTGATATTGTAATGATATTGTGAGGAGAAATTCTGTCTTGGTCGTTCATGGGAGTTAAAGGGTTAAAAGGTTTATGTAAACCAGCGCACAAGAATCGAAAGAAATGGCTTTTTTCCGTGGAGCTTTTGTACACTTAAATGGTTATCGCCTTTAGAAATATGTAAAAAAAAACAAAAGACAAAAGCAAACAAACAAACGAACATTTAAGTACTCTATTTATCCTGGTGACAGAGGGGAAAAAGAAACACATTAACTACTTCTTGAAGCCCGCAGAAAGAAGTTAATTTCGAACCCTGGTGTTTTATTTAGCGGTTGAAAATTGTAAGATTTTTTTCTTCGAATGTGCAACGTCGCGCATATAAAACGATAGTGCGGGGGGAGAACGAGAGGGGTTTATAATCAGTTTGTAATTAACTCACTTATCTTTCGATTTGTGCAGAGGTAGTTGCATCGTAGAGTTAAAATTATTGGATGGAAAAATAATTCTATAAGATTAAAATGATTAGTTTTTTACTGAGTATGTGAGCAATATTATACAATAAACATTTACTCAAAGGATATCTAATTTTCTCATCCTTGCTCTTAATTTTCTGTTTTTTCTCCTTTCTTCAATAATTTGTCCTCTGTGAATTTTCAAAAGGAAATCAGAATTTAAGTCACTTCAAGTGGCGCTCGTACCAGATGAAAGCAAGTTGCATCTAAGAATCCGTCGGATCTGAAATATTATTTCATTACAAATTGCGATTAAAATATCAATCACCACAAATCACCAGCTGAATTTTGCACGCGTTTTTGACCAGTGTACAACCGGACATCTTGGGTGACAGAACAATTGACTTTTGACAGTGACTCTTCACAGTTCCTACAATGCTTTGTGATGGATCAAATAGTGCATTAGTTTGAAAAAGTGTAGAAACAAGCTGATGTTAAGAACTTCCACGCATAAAGTCAAACCCATTAAAACACAATATGGATTAGCTGCATTCTTAGAGCCGAGTAACAGCTACACACAAAACTTTTATATAAAGAGACAAGCAGTTGTTTTATCATTGTTTAATCATCAACAAACGCAAACAAAAGAACAATCAAATATTAGAAGCAATTGAAGAAGCCACGTCGATGTAACCAGCGAAGAACCTCTTCGAAGTAGCCTCTGTTCATGAAAAACAATTTGATTTTATGAACTGAGTTGAAATTGTATATTGACTGTCGTAAAAAGTTTCTAAAGCTCACCTTTCAAGCGCTAGCCCTTCGTCATTCGCTCTGACGGAGGGCGAACGCTTGAAACGTGAGCTTAGAAACTCTTTATGGTGGCTAGTTTACATTATCAATTCAGTTCATAGAACCAAATTACCATGTAACACCCCTCACCGATGCAACACCACAGTTTCTTTAGAAAGAAACCCCTTTATTCATGTTCACGACAACGGAATTCTAACTCTGTCTCGAGTGTTCTAGACGAAACCTCGTATTTGATCCTTTTTAGCTTCTGTTGTTTGATGATAGGTGTTTTAATTTTTCTTGTTTTCAAGGGCATAATCCATTTAAAAAAATACATGTAATCATTTTGTCCTGAACGCTTCGGATCCTGGAAGAATTATAATGTCTCGATCATAAGCTGTTAAAATGCTGGTAGAAGGTTTCTTCCCTGGTTTCAGGAAAGCATGCACTGCATCGCTTACATCTGATACCTTTACACGTTTCGCGCGAGGCAGAGAGAAAATGAAGTGTTCTGATTAATTTACATAACTTTGGTCCAAATTTCGGTGAGTCCTTGTTTTGACTCAGACATTAGATACCAGTTGAATCGAATTTTAAAGAAAACTTTTTATTTCAGTCAATTCCTAACGACGGAGCTTAGCATCACTTTGCTTTTGTATTCAGGGGGAATAATGCCCCAGGAAATCAAACAATTATAATAATCAAGGGGCGCAAACAGAGAACCAGACTCGAATGCATTGATAGGACGCGTGGGAACAACGCGCACGAACGAGAAGGCGCGCGGGAAAAAAACAGGTAAAACAAAACACGAACATGTTAATTTCCAGCCACATAGCATGTGTCATCTGGATACCAATGAACGTATGAGTGCCTCCACACTTTGGAGAAACAAGTCCGTATAGCCTGCTGTTTTGTAGGCTCCGGCAAGAAGTTCCATATCGGCGAGAAACAGCTTTTCTCTACCTTGAATTCTGTAGCTTTCTAGTAGAGATTTCATGTCATCAATAAATTTTTGATTATATTCCGGTATTTCTGTAGATTGCTGTGATGAACTTTTGTGTTCATTGATAACGAATTGTGTGATGGATATTTCTATAAAAAAGGAAAAATGTTCAACGTTAAAACCTATCGTCAATTTGTGATGCGTTAGCCCTTCGTCGAAGCGGAGGACAAAAGCTTAACGTTCAAAACGTCTGCTTCAGAAACTGTGGTGGCCAATTAACATTATCAACTCAGTTGATAAAACCAAATTATCATGTATTCCCCTCCCCCCTCCCCACCGAAGCAGCTACACAGTTTCTTTAGAAACGTAACCCTTTTATTCTCTTACCAGAGTTAAAAGTACTCTACTAACATTAAACTAAGGAGATGCAGAAGTGATGTTACTTTAATGTTAAAGAAGGTTAACTCTGAGGAAGTTTAAATTGAGTGTGAAAAGTCATCCAGGATTATAACAGTTATCTTTACATCCACTGTATGATTGGTATAAAATACTCACCATGTTAAAAACCTAACACACCAGTTTCTTTTATGTTATGTTTTTTTTTTCAAGATAAAAAAGTGGGGAGGACTTGGCAATGACCTTAAGACAGTAAGTCAAGAGGAGTTTAAAGGAAGTTACTCTCCTGTAACTCATCTGTAAAAAGAGCCACTCAAACTCATACCCAGACTCCCCTTTCTTCCTTCTCTATTTGCAAGATAGAGAGAGGACCTATGATTGTGGCTAAATGCAAATGAATATTTGTCATTTCTGAAGTACTCTGGCAAAACAAGTTTCTGAAAAAAATGCTGAAATTGCCTTGGCAAACTTTCCCAGATGTGTAACTGTTGGGAAGGTTACCACAGCAAATCTATCGTTCTTAACAAATTGGTTCTATGTCCAAAAAAGGAAAAAGCAGTACACTTACTTTTTAAAAGTCTATCCCTTGCATCTCTGCTTCCTCTCAGAACAGCTCCTAACTCTCCTCTCAGTTCATTAATCAAACCTCTAAGTTTACTGTTAAAATCTTGATTATCTGTGAGGACTAATAACAAAACAAAATAGTGAAAAACACATCAATAAAACATAAGGTAACAAGTTGCAAACTCTTCTTAGCTAACAGGTGACAAAAGACCATTAAATTATTCTGTGAAAAACATTGAACTTTAAACTTTGTACAGATAAATCATGATAACAAAGACAAAGGTCTAAAGGCACACAGTAATCCACTGAGGGCTTTGGAATGTTAACGTAACTATTGTAAAGAAATGAATTCAAGTGCTACAAATCACTAACAGCATTCCACAATAAAGATTCTACCCAAAAATCTTTACAATCCAATCAAACTGTTTCCTCACAGATAAAGCAGAAAAAGAAGGGAGACAGGGAGAAAAAAAAAAGATGCTGGAAAACTCTTGGAATTCTATGATGCATAGCTCCCCAAAATCAATTCCTTAGCAGATTTTTATGACTCACACAGTTTACTTAGCTGAAAAAGAGGGACTGCTTGATGTCATAAGTTTCAGTGGCATGCAAATAAATTCATTTATCTTGTACCTGATTTATCAAACCATATGCACTTGCTATCAGGAGCATTGGCAACCATTGATTTTGCATCACTTAAAAACTTCCCATTGTAAGTTACTGGGGAAAGTCTTTCATGTTCCAGTTGACAATTATCACCATTTCTGAGTCCATTTGTAAGTTTTTCTTTCATAAGGCAGTTAGGACATGTTTCTACTACAACACTGATAATACTTTTGTCAATTCCAAAGTCTCTGTGGCCCACTGTGTATTTTTCTTGTATCTGAAATATAATAAAAGTCAAATTAAAAAGAAAAAAGAAATATACTCTACATTAACAAATCAGTGGTTTGAATCTTAGGTTTCATCAATTCATAATTTTCTGATACATACTGTAGTTACTGATGAACTTGACAAAAAGACATATTTCATGGCTAAATATCAGATCACATAATCAACCATCATACATAGGTTCAAACCAGTAAGTATATTATAGTGTATGTAAACATTTCTGGTGTAATTCAAGCAATCAAAGTCCACTGAGTTTGACAGCAAATATACTGGAGGGGATATTGTATACATGAACCCTATGCTATGCAAAAAAAAAAATTGGCAGACAGCAAGAGAAGTTAATTTTTGGGGTGTTTATAAAGAAACTGTTCCATAAGTACTTTCCGTGTATGTACCAGTATATTTCCAAATGCCATTTTTCTCACATGCTTGATCTAATCATTCATCACTAAGAGGTCTCATGAACAAGGATATGATTGACTAAGTCTGTGATTTAATTTGCAGTGTTATATTTTTGTTCATAGGGTTTCCTGTGTATTTACTGAGATATTCATTTTAGTTGAACTTAACAGACTTAAAAAAAAACCAGACTAAGAACATTTGACTGACAACAACTATTCACTTGACTCTGAAGATGACTTCCGCTCAGGTTGTCGAAATGTCACTCACCACTACCGACAACAGTCCTTCTCAGGACTACACTCACCCAGATGATCAAACTACACTATTACATAACAGACTTGATGTTAAGTTCTGTGGCATGACAAATAAACCGATTTGAGGAGACAAATTTCTGATTATTTTGTCAATTCTTAAAAAAATAAGCAACAACTCATCATTTTAGTGAAATTGGCACGGTGAATTTTACCGTCTGTCAAATGGGAAATTTAACACTGGTTGCTGCACTGAGATTTTGGTCTGATCACTGTTTACGGGAATTTTCAGATGTAAACTGAGGCGCCATCTCTCAAGTTTCATATTAGTATCTAACTAGGTCTTAGCCACCAAAGTAACATCTAGGTCACAAGGTTAGCCCATATTACCATATCAACAGACTGTACCTGGCTCGAGTAAAGAGGCCCGCAGAGTGATTGATTTTGTTCTTACGGAACAAAAAAATTATACACGAACATTCATTTGTTGTAAAAATTATTTAATCTGAGATTTTTGGTCACTGTTTTCGCTCAGGCTGAGTGTTATTTTCTAAAAGAGCAACGAAAGAAAAATTAAAAAGCAAAGTGTTGGTTCAATAAAATAACAGAGGAGCAAAAGACGTTAATTCTTCACACACAAAAAAAATTAATCGCAAAATAGTCTTACATTTCAAAACAATCCAAATTCTTGCTTTTAAAACTAGTGCAAAACTAACACACAGATATTGAAAAAAACCATTAATTTGAACTTAAGCTCACAAATCAAAGTATTTAAGTTTAGTTTCTATAATACAAGGAATGAAAGCCTTTGCTTAAGCAAGGATAAAATTTACCATAGAAAAGGTTTTCCTTGCATCGTAATGTCCCATCGAATGAACTTTCCGCACCACTGTTTGAAACTCTTCCATTGGTATAATAATCTTTCCAGTTCTCTTATAAACGAGTACATGACAGTTTGCTTCGGCGTCAAAGCGTACATCCATGCGTTCAGCCCAGCTTTTAAACCTTTCTCGTCTTGTTATTCCACCTCTGGGTTTCGGAAAACCCGCCGCTTTTAATTCGGGTCCGCTGGGCCAACAACATTGCCACTTAGGGAGGGTGGCTGCGGAACGCGCGCAAAGACAATTCAGAAACAAGTCGTAAAGAATCTTTGGTAACGGTCCCGCGTTGTTTCTTTGTTTACCAGTGTTCTCATTTGCCCTTTCTGCAGATGTTTCATCCATTTATTTGGGGCAGCAAGAATACTATCAGTACAACTTTGCGTGTAAAGACTACGATTCAGAAATTCCATCGTTTTATCTGCGCACGCATTACGTCATCAAGGTCAGGTGATCAAAGTTCCCGGATAACTGTACTCTAAAACAAGCCCAATCACAGAGAAGGGAAATATGTCCAAACGGTAAAGATGTTTCGCTTGTTGTAAAATATTGACCAAGAACTAAATTAAATTTTTTATTAATTCGCCCCTCCACCAACCAATATCCGTATTCAAGAAAGTCCGAATTTTCAACCAATAAGAAATATTCAAAATGAGGCCTCCAAAAGGTATTTCAAAGCATGACCCAGCAGGGAATTGGAGGGGGGTGGGGTAGAACGTAATTGAAGCTAGCACCATTTCAGTATCTCATTAACCCTTTGACTCTTAAGAGTGACTATCGTGACTATTTTTTTTTAAATAATATCACCCTTGTAACAAACAGTCAGGTCACGAGAATAAATGAAAGGTTTTTTCCTCGTTGTCGGCACCTTAGGAAATGTATAAAGACCAGTGTGAAGAACATGCATACTAAACTAAAGGGTTTATCAAAATAACACAGGGAATATATATTACATTTTTTTTTTTCAACAAGGGTCATCATTTTTTTTTAAGGCAGAGAATCCTTTAATTTTTCGTGCCTCCCGAAATGTGCGACCGCCATCTTGAATTTTAGAAGTGAAGAGCTGTCATCGCTCACTCGGAAATCGTGGCAGGTCTTACGAAGTGGGGGAAGGAGAGAAGGGGATCACTGATTCGAACACGATCGTCCGCGCTTCGCGTTGCTATTAATCTTTTCCTCCCCCACACCTTGGTATGGCCCGTCACACTGGGGATTGCCTTCGCCCAAATCAACACAAACAACTGTAACTGTCTGAGAGCACTATGTGGTATGTTGCACATTGTTAGTTATAGCCTCAAGTTCACAATTAAGCGAGTGTAATATCTATTAATCTTTCAGAAACCATTCTCGTTCAATTTCACACACTTTTAATGTGCTTTTCTGTCTCTCAATAAGCTATAAGGTGTACTAGTTTGAACTCCGAACTGATTTACAAAACAGTGGCATGGCATCTTTAAAAATAGCAATGGTCAAAACCCAGAAATCGAAAATCAAGGTGACGCCAGTAATACAAATAAATAAGAAGTAAGAATGGAATATTAAATACTGCCTGAGTTTGAAGATTTGCAGTGCGACTTCAGTTACTAGGGTTACTTTCAAAAAATTGGTCGGTGCAACTACAGGAAACGAACGATGATTTCTACATAAATTCTTTGTCATCTTTGCTAAACCTGTCTTCAGACTCGATAGCTGTGACTTCAGTGACAACTTCTGTTTGAACTCACCAGGTCGCTACCAATCAATAAGCTTATTGATAATTCCTCCTTCGGAGGATCACACAAAATCACCTTCTAGGTTTAAATCATTTTATAAATATTCTCCTTAATCGGAAAACACGAGTTTCACTTAGAGTTAGAACTTCTGTACGCGACAGCATGAGAAGACGAATAAATAATAATGTGATTTCACAGAAATTCATGGCAGTCATATTATGACAGTTTTGAGACACCATTCAGAAAGAATATAAACTTCATTAGCTAAGATAGAGCAATTTTCAACTAATGTCGAAAGTAACCCCGGGATTGCTCCGGTTTTGCTTTACTTCGCTATGTGAACTCGCACCACTTTCTCAACCAATCAGATTCAAATCTGAGACCAATAGGGATTTGGTCACACACGTTTTCCCGCGCTTCAGGCAGTTTGCTTGTTCTATACTTCGAGTTCTCATTGGTTCCTTGCGATATTTTCCTTGCAACGATTGGCTAATGTGATTGCTTTATTTTGGGTTTTACGACACTCAATCGAAAACCGCTCTATTAGCTTCTATCATCTATTGTATTTTTCACCTCCTTTGAAATCCTTTTACTGACTTTCTAAACTTCAAACAAGATAAGATCCATCGATGGATCGATCGGCCAAATGAAATGAATAATCAACACGAAGAAGTAGTCCTTCAGTGGTTTTCAGTTGCGCATGCTAAAGGAAATCGGTCCAAGAGCGGTCGGGCGAAAGACGGCGGTTGCCAAGGAAATAGTTTGTGTCCAATTCCCGCCGTTTTTCGCTAGTTCACTTTTCGGCTCGTTGACCTATTACAAGCTAGAAAAGCTTGTAACGATAATGTCATAATAAAGGTCAAAACAATAAGTAAAAAACTTGCAACACGTGGTCTCGAGAACCCAAACTATAAACCTAGGTAGCAGAAGAGTTAAATCTGACTGTATTTTAGGTTACAAAAACCGTACATTTGCAGCGTGACTCGTTTGACCAGTGATATACGAGATCTCATTGGGTGTCTATTAACAAAGTCAAATCTGACTCCTCTGCTAACTGTGCATAATATTCAACGTTGCGGAACTTAATACTTAAGTATGACACTCACTTTGACTAACAACCGGTAATTTTAGCAACTGCTCTAACAGATACAGTACAAGACTTAAATTTACACTACCATCGTCGTGGAACTACTGTGATAAAAAGTTAGAGAGTGTGGCTGGATAAGGAAACAGACATACTTGCATCTCTACTAATAACGTGAAGTTCCAGTTTCTCCTTTTGGAACCTTCCATATTTACTGGTGAGTGGAGATATCTAAATGTTGATAGAGAGCAAGCAGTTCGCGATTCTCTTGATCCAACTGCATCCTTAAGACTGTTTTATCTGAATGTTTCTTTGAATTCCACATGCGTGCTCGTAGACTTAAATAAAATCCAGCAAAGAGTTCCATCCAAGTTGTTCGTCTTTTCCACTTGCTTTGGTGCTGGGCACAAATTGGGCACAAATAAATTTCACTGAGTTCATTTTTATTTCCTATGATGTGATTGGCACAGTAAGTGATGAAGGGCTGTAGGCACTAATCAGTAGTTCCTTGGGTGCAGCTTCTCCAGTTTCTTCTCACAATGAATGGTCCCATGAACGTTGTGCGTGATCATGGCGGTTTTCTAATGTCTGTTAGGGTGAACCACCGAGCCACAGACGTCTTAAGCTCAGCTTGTGACAGGTCGATGATCAGTCCACCGAGGAATTCGTTCTCGCCTACATTTTCATGGTCCAGTACAGTGACCTGCAGATGTCGCTGTCTGACTTCATGCTCCGGTATACTGTACAGTAATGTTTCGTTAAATGTTGGATTGAGTGTTTTCCGTGCAATCTTGGTCTTGAGTTTTGTAGCCTTAATAGGATCTGGAAGGAGGTATAGTTTGACGTAAGGATCTGCCAGATATGTTGTATTTCTTGCAGATAAATCTTTCGCGTGCATAACCATGACGCGAAGGGCATCGCACTCGTGCCGAATCTGCAACTTCACTTGTCCCCCAATGACTCTTTGGCGGTTTCGTTTTTCCTCCGGAAGCAAGGGAGCCGAGAACAAGCGTGCATCTTTCTTGTCTTGCTGAAGAGAATGAAGGAATGTGTACAGGAGTTCCGATTCTGAAATTTCAGGAGGCAGCATCAGTAAATGGCGGATGTAATCGTCAAGGTCACTTCGTCTCCGCTCGGCAACAACACGGATCTGCGAACGACCGATATATTTTTTGCTAGGGAGTTTGGGCAGACTGGTTTCCGGAAAAGCCTCGGAGAGCTTTGAATGTAGCTCGTAAAAATGGCTGAACCTGCGAAAAACAAACGCCGGTTCTTGAACTCCAAGTCGGCAAATGTTTACAACGTAAACGTAATATTTCTCAGGATTGTAGCGCTTGTGGATGTCCACAACACGAGCAGATTCTACCAACCCGTCTGAGTCGACAGAATATGTTCCGTGAACGAATGAAAGAACAGAGCTTGCGCTGGCGTTTGTACCTGTCGAGATTCGTATTTGACTAACGTCTCTGATCTGAGCGACATTATGAATGAAGAAATTGACTTGAGTGAACCATGATGACAGACTAGCCTCGATTAGTCTTGTGAACGCCGCCGTAGCTTCTCCTTCTGAGGAATCTGGAAGCAAGGAATCTCTAATGTACTTTAAATCCGCCACCTGACTCAAGCAGGATATTCCAGAATTCAGCATCAAGGACAACAAATTAAGCAGCAAGTTGGAATGGCGCCGAATGACGTTAAACGCCTTGCAGCAGAGGTCTACAAAGTCTTGAAAACGACTACTCGGCTGGTAGCCTCCGTTTATGACGAAAGCCATGTCTGAAGTCAAGACGAAGGGAGCCCGATCGCGTCGAAATGTGCCGAACATCTGAGCGTTTCCAAGGATCTTGGCGAAATCAATATGAAACATGTGACCACTTTTCTTGATCATAATATTGTCGTTATGACGATCGCCGATACCGAGGACATAAGTGGCAACGCAGTAGCCTGCACATGAAGCTGTAAAATTCTCCACAGCTTGTTGGTAGCTTTCATCGCCAGTGTTGTACTTTTGGATCCATCTTGCTATTGGCTCATCCTTGAAAGAACCTGTCAGACCGAGCTCGGTATGGATTTCTCGAAGCGTGACCGACTCTTTCACAATTTCCACCATCCCCATCCCAACCCCAGTTGCCACACATTTGTAGGTAATCATTTTCAAATCGATTCCTTCTCGTAACCAGATCTTGTTCATGATTCCCACAAGCTGCAGGATAAGCCGGTCTTGTCTCATATCGTCCCCAATTTTGAACATTGCGTGGACATCTTCGCCAAACGGGTCAACGCTCTTGAAAATGAGTCGCAATGGCGCAGAATGCGATGTAAAGTATCCACAGGCTGGAACGTTAACACCTTTCACCTCATAACTTGGGCCTATTGGAAGCCTAAAGGTTGGACCAAAGTTAGCAGCCACCACTGCTAGTTCTTGGTGAAGGACATTCATTCGTGATGATTCTCTTGAGGTTTTGACTTTCCGGGCCACTTCTGCAAGGTCAGCGACAACTTCGTCTTGCATCGTAAACTCGCACCTTTGGGCATTTCCACAGATATTCAACAGACCACCGAGAATAATTTGGAATCGCTGACCGAACTGTGGATCACCGATAGTGTCCTTCAGGTACCAGAAGAGATAATGCATGACTCTGACACTGGCAAGAGCCCGGCGGATAAGGAAGCGAACTAAAGAGGAGTCGTGATAGATTTCATACTTTACGGCCTGGACGAGCTGAGGAAGGTAATCGCACAATTCATCATCAACAACTGCTTCCATCCACTGAACCGCCGTATCTCTCACACGGGTGTCCGGAAAATTGACCTTCAGCAGCTCCAAAGCATCCACTGGTTTTAAAGGGGCCCAAGATGCCAGAAGATTGTAGATTTCTGGAAGGAAACCGTACTCCCAAGATGGCGCTGCAGACAAGATGAGAGGTAGCGCTCTTGGCACTGACATGCAGTAATGGCGATGTTCCCAAAGAAGTTCGCTCTCCTCTGGCTTCAGCTCATTGAAGAGATCTTTCTCCAAAATATTCTTGTATACTTCAGCGGTTTTGGGCTGGGGCTCACAGCGATCCGTTTCATCGCGAGGTAGCCAGCCATTGCTTTCGAAATCTGGAAAGACAATATCAGCCAAATAGCGTTCGAATTCGACTTGCAGAATGACACTGGATGGATGCAGCAGGTTTGATGTACAAGTGCCAACTGGGTTGGCTGCGTCATCCGGCCATAAACCAAGGAGATGCGTTCCCGACACCAAAACGCCCTTAAAATCGAAGAGTGGTAGTGCAACCCACCCAAGTGGAGTTCTGCTGGTATTCAAGGTGTTTCCTTTGCCAATCGGTTGAACGCCATAAAGTGTGAAACACAGACGAGACTCACGTGGGAGTTGACGAACTTGCATCTTGAATTGCAGCCATTCATTCCACATCAGCTGGTCGAAGAAATTTCGGGTTATCTTAATTTGCTTCGTCACTTCGACTGGGCACGTCAGGCGCCCCCCATAGTAAATTCCACTTCGAACTTCAAAGCTTTCGAAGTCTTGGTTCCATTGCACAGGCAGTCTATGGGCGAATGCCACTTGGATACGGACGTTGTCTGTCATGGCTGTAACCTCTATAGATCCGGACAGTTTGGGTCTCTCTATCCGAGTGGGAACAAACTCGGTATCAAACGCATCACAGTACATCTCGATAAGGAGCAAAACAGCTGATTGCAACTTTGAGAGAGCATCATTCAGATCGAACTGGTTAGGAACCATTCTATCAGAAACCTCAGCAGCCTTTTGTAGATTTTGTAAATTTCGGATGGAATCGATCACCTCTTTCGTTTCCAAGGTTGCCAGGGTGGTACAGATGGCTTTCACGGCTTGGATTGTACGGTTTGGCTCAAACCATGGCTTGGTGTAACTAGTACTTTCTTCCAAGAGTTTGACCAGTTCTTGATTAAATGCCTCTAACAGCACAGTCAGCCCATATCTCGATACAGCGGTGGTCACAGGGCAGTCAAAAAACTCTTTGTAGTTGTGGGAAACGATGCCATCCAAGTCGTCTTCTTCAGTCCGAGCCAGCTGCCTGGAAACTTGCCAACTCTCGACTAGGACAAGTTCAACTTCACGTTTAAACTTGATGCATTCCTGCACATAGGCATACTGGATAAGGATTCCGTTTGATTCCAGATACTCAGAACGTCCACAGACTTTAAGCACATACACTGCGGCTGAGCTGTACTCTAGAAATTTAACATCATCTGACAAGCAACTCAGGGCGAGCTCGATTATTTTGCAGACACGGCTATGTACAGTAAAGGTGAACTTGAGGGTGTCCTGTCGTTGATCGGTGTAGATGGCAATAAATGCGTCGGTGTTGCTCGGAAATGCTTCGTGATCATAGGGTATCGTGGGACTTAAAACATGACCGGCGTTCGTTTCTTCATCCCAGCGAAAGTTTGACCTGACAGAGGTCATCATTGCACTAAAAGCAGTAGCCTCTTCATTCCTCTCTTTGGCGACATCGAACAAACCATCTCCAAAAAAAAGGAACTTTGAATCACAACCAGAACTGTTCCTTGACATCGATGGACCCAGTGACGTTTTGTCCGACAGTGAAGCAGAGACTGGGCGATTGGAAAGCTTAAAAGGGGGTGACCGACTGGAGGAAACGGACTTCAATCGAACACGTGACTCTTTTGAAGATTGTTGAAGCATACCAACCTCGTCTTCCTCGGGGAGGTTCACTGTCAAAGGTCTTGTATTTCTGGGATATGTTTTAGAGCTGTGTGCATTGTGAGTTGTCTGCGATGGAAAGAAAACAGTGTCTTTTGCCAACTTTCCTTCTGACAAAGTTTTTCTCTGGACTGGCTTTCTGAATGATTCTCCTGGAAGCTTTTCACGCTTTAAAGTGATAGAACCGTAGGGGTGTTCTTTGCTAGAATTTGATGAGGTATTGCTGCTGAAAGATTGGTCTGCAATTGCTATTCCAACATCTGAATCATGACCTTTCAAAGTCACATTAAGTCTAGAGGAGTAGGACTGTACACCTACAGCATTTTCAACCTCTGTTTTGCCACTAGGATCCGATGGGTGTCTAGAGTCCATTACTTCTGATGGGGGCCTAAATAACGTGTGATAATTGGGAAATCCACCGTGACGAAATTCCGCGACTTTGCTTGGTTTTTCCACTTGGTTCCTGGGCGGTGAGAGGTCATCGCAAGAACGGGACGCCCGTAATCTGTTCGCCTCTTCAGGTAAACTGTGACGACCTGTCGCACTCGCAGTGGTAGTCGTAAAATTGAAACAATTTGAGTGTTCTTCTCTAATATGACTTGAATGTGTAAATCTTGCTCCTGGTTTAGTCGACTGTAACGTTCGGTTCGAATTGTCATTTCCATTTCGAAGATTGCTTGTTTCTTTGCCGTTTGACAAACAGAAATTCGGTGGCAGCGAGCGAACTGTGTCAGCGCCGGATGAACTTACACCCATTCCTTCGAATTCAGAAGACAAGACAGTCAACCAAGAAACATCGGACCTTGGGGCAACATTGTCTTCTTCATCGGAGGAGAAGGACATGAGATCGTCCAAATTTCCTCTCTGTTTTTCCATGGTAAACGATAAACCACACAAACCAGGTAGATTTAAAATGCAAATCAGGCCAATCAGTTTCAATTTCACTACAATCAAGAAATATGTCACTCGCGTGATTCGTTATGATTCAAAATCAAAATATTCGGACTTGCCCTTCCAGGTTCTCAAAAACACGCTGAAACCATCATAACCATTATTACGTCGAAGGATCTCCTCAGAACCATGAATAACAAACTGTGTGTGACGACAAACACTTCAGCTTATTTCAAAATCGTGACTTCAAGTTCTTCCTGTTCGGGTTCGTTTTTAAGCGGAATTTTCGATCCCAGCATAAAATCATTCGATTTAGATTTATCAGCAAAGTACCAAGGCTTCTCTCTCTCTTGCAAAATTTCCTGGGTTGTCACAGAATCTTTACAAACGGCCGAGACAATCGTACTCTCCTCGAAACTTCATCGGTCATTGAAAAATAGACAATTTATAAACAACCAAATTCACGCACACTACATCGCGCATGCGTTATTTTTCATACTACCGCTGACATAACAGGCTCAAACATGGCGGTAAACTTCTTCAGCAAGACTACTTACACCCCTAAGGAACTGGACCTTTATTTTGGTTCTTAATGGCCACATTTGGTTGGAGTTACAAGTCAAATGCAAGTGGAAGCAAACGTCCCAGTGAACAATCGAGAAAAGTTGAGAGCTGGCAGGAGAAACGCGCCGATGACACGCCGAAACCCCTACACCCCCAGTCGCATTCTGCTGAAACTTTAACAGCAGGAACACAACCCGCGAGGAAAAAATGTAAGTCGTTAAAAACAGATTATTTGAGTCAAGTTAAAATCCTGGCAACTTATTTTTCAAGTAAACATTTGGGAAACTTAAAGTAGCGTGTAACTGTACATTACACAAGCTTATTTAAAATGTACTTTCAGTTCAAGATCTTGTAGGGGAGCAACTGCATATATATATACTTATTTTTATTTTTAATGTATGGCTTCTATTTTAAGCGAAGTGGAGTAGAGTGCTGTAGAAAATGAAATGTGACGTCAAACGAAACAACGAAACGCAAAATGTTATATTAATCACATTTATATTTGTAGTTTTGTAGGAGGCATATGATTGCCCACCTAAGAAACTTTAACCACTCTCAACTGTCAGTTCTTTGATATTATTAGCCGTACTGAAGTGACGTTTTCAAGATGTACCCTTTTGATGTGGTTTGGCTCTTTCCTTCTTTGACAATACTTTTCCTTCAGTTAAATTTTCAATTTCAGGGATTTTTTTTATGTGATCAAGGTCTTTTGTCTCCATGATATATATCTTAGTTGATTGGTTTTTTGAGGGGGATATGGGTGGATAACTTGGGAATTGTGTCTTATGTATGAAGCAATCAAATAAGGGATTTTAACCTTTCCATAAGAGAAACGGTCCTTCGTTCAACTTCTCTCTCCTGATGGAAGTGCTAAATTACACCCTGCATCATTTAGTGTCAGTGTATGGTACTTTTATACAAAGTAGATTTTGGGAGATTGAACCTCCATGAAAATGTTGTTGATTTGATTGGATCAAGTATAAAGATAAAATATACATTATTTCTGTGCCAAACCTTAGCTTCCAAGTAATTTATTTATCCTTTCTGGTTTTTATATCTCTGTCTTCTATCTTTCCCATTCATATATGTTTTGTTGTTAACCCTTTAACTCCCATGAGTGACCAAGACAGAATTTCTCCTTACAATATCAATACAATATCAACCAGATTAGTGATGAGAATAAAGAAAAATATCACTTTGGGGATAATTAGTTGATCCAATAGTAAGTTCTCTGAACTAACATTAAAATAATTATATGGTTGACAGTAAGGAGAATGACAAATTTGATCAGAGAGTTAAAGGGTTATTAACACATCCAACTAAGACCTGTCAGTGTATTACAAACAGCCTTTTTTAAACATTTGTGTGAATTTCTTTGGTAAAGTGATTCCTAATGGTGAAGAAATAAAAAGCTACAGATCATCCACCATTCTTGACAATAGACTGTATTTTCTCATTTCTTTTTATCTCTAAAGATGACCCAAGAGCCAAGATATTTGTTGGTAACTTAGACTGGGAAACTAAAGAAGGTATTGAAGTACTGAAAAAATTAATTATTTGGTAGTTTTTATACACTGAAAAGTCAGTAGAAAAGTGGGAGCTTTTTATTATCACTTTGTCCGGCATTGTGACCCATTTTGCGGACTAACATGGAGATTTTTATAAGCTAAACGGTTTTAAACTGTCTCACACACTTGTGTGCTTATTCAGACTGTTTTGTTGTTATTGCATTGATTTAAACTAAGGTATTGGATGTTCATTCCATGATTGAAGGGCCATATACAGAATAAGGCCCCAAGTAATTTTTATGCAACATGCATATTTCTCCCTCTGTTTTATGAGAGAATATATTACAGACAATTTTAAAGAAGAAACAAGGAGTTTCAGAGGGCTTTCCTCTTGGCCACCATTTGAATTATGCTGGCCATAATTATTAGTAAGCTATACATGTAAGGTATTGCCTACAGAAATTTCCTTAGATATGCTCTCATTTTGTCGTGGTATGTCATGCAATTGTATAACCTATGTGTAGCCATACCTTCCCCCCCCCTTCCAAGGGGAAACAGAAGGGAGGAAACATCTATGAAAACATGACACAAATCATGTTATATGACATCACTCTTTTGTGTGGAGATTATAATGATTTTTTATTGGTCAATTGTTTTGTTGATTCTTTCATGAATTGTGATTGGCTAGAGATGATGGTTTTCTTTCATACTAACAAACAAGATGGTGAGCAGAGTACCTTCATGGTCAACTATGCAAATAACCGCAACTTATAACAAGGTTTTAAGGCAAGTCTGCATGACTTTGGGATAGAGAAATTTCAAGAAGAACAGTGGAATGCTATAGATGCCAGTATGTTTTTCAAAGGTGACTACGTTTCCACTTGGTGCCCAACTGGCTATGGAATCTTTTTAATTTATCAAGCCATGCAAGTGATCAATTGCCTTTCTTTTCTAGAGAAAAACGTTCACTATATATTTATTGTGGCACCTGTGAAAGCTCTCATGGAAGACCAGGTTGACTATCTCAATGCATTTGGGCCAAGGTGATTGTCTTCCTTCAACTCTCAGTCTCTTTGAGAGTGGTGCTGCAAAGCTAATTAAGCTATTTATTTCTAGCAGCAATCCTTTAGACTGAAAAATGAGTTGCTCTTTCTTCACACTTGCAGCATAACTATCTCTTGAAGAAATTTGTAAAACCCTGAGATTCTGTGGCAAATGATCCAATTTTTCTTAGACAACTGTGGCACTATCTACAAATGTAAGAAGAGACTGTGTGGATGTTGAAATCTACTTTTGTTTGTGTGATGTTAATCAAACATCACCCTCTTCTTATTGACTCTATTCCAATGAATGTTGTTCACCTTGATTACTTTTCACTCTAGCATGTGCCACTTTGCAAAAATATTATCAAGTTACTTAATTTTGCATAGATTAGAGTGGCATGATATAACACAATTTGTGTCAGGTTTTCCTAGATGTTCACATCCTTCTGTTTCTCCTTGAGGGGAAGGGTACAGCTACCTATAGGCTAGACATTGTGATTTCCAGTAATGTTTGAGTTGTATGTCAGCTAACATATCACACATAATTATCATAAGCCAGGGCAGCAGTGGAAAGCATAATAATATAATGGAAATAAGGATTTTGACTTCAATGTTTGATATTCTGAATATTTTTTTTGCAGTAACCATTGCTGAAATATTTTCTACCTTTGGAGAAATAGAGGCAGTTAAGGTATAATATATTTACTAGCTTAGCTAAGGGGTAAAGGGACACTCAAGAGATTGATCAGCCATGTCAAATATAAGAAACCTATCAGTTTATTATGGAGATTATTTTTGGGCAAAGAAATAAGACCTTATTATCAATGAAAACAAGGATTATTTGAAAAGTAGAGGTTGTCTTTTGCTTTAATTTTTACCTTTATCTTTAACTCCCAAGATCTCTCCCACTATAATTCATTTCTTCTTCTTCTTGTCATTTTGCTTTCCTTGATTGTAAGGATAAATTATTTAATGGTCTCTCTTAGTGATGAAAGGGTTTGCCCTAATTTTCCTTCCTGAAGAGACTTGTAACCAAATGATCACTGCCAGTTTAATACACTTTCAAGAACACATTTGATGATAACTAAAAAGTTGGTGAAGTGATGGTTATATCACTTCCCAGAGTAACACCAGATTGTCAGGGTATCAATTAGGCATTATTTCATATTAGGCATTTATTTCATATTTATTTTGATATTTGCTAAATTAAATCTTAGTTTGTTATTTTTTTTAATCTCTCTGTTTCTGAACCATTTGATATTTGTTTCTGGGTGGAAGTTGATGATGACACACTAGCTCTGGATATTTGATAATTAAATTACTGACCAAATTATCAAGTTCGTGATTGTGTTTTAATCCCTATGTAATACATTTACTTACTTGTAGCTCATCAAGGATCATGAAACTGGCATTTCAAGAGGGTTTGCCTTCATTACATTCTGTGAAGTGGACTCTGGTAATTATTTTTTTATTACCACAAATTGTATTTTGTTGTTTGAATTGATTTTCATTTGCATGTAAGATGATGACTTCCATCCAATTTGATTGGTACTTTCCTATGGTTTATGACTAGCAACTTATAAAGAGCTAAAAACTAAGGAGAAGCAATGTGAAAAAAAAAACTTCAAATATTCTTCCTTAGAAAACACTTTGAAAAACAGTGATATCTATCTAGAACATGGTAGTGTAAAACCTCTGTGCAAAACTGTGTTCATCAGCAACATTTATATGAAGTAATATGTTGTCATTTGTCATAATTTTTTTGAAGTATGAATCAAAATGTAGGTGTACTTCTATCAGAAAATATAAATTAAACTGTCTTTTGACCTGGGCTAGCCCTATCAATAGCAATTTCCAGCTGTACCTAGGGCAACTGGGTTTTAGGGACTGTGTATGATATTAGAGTGGCACTTTATTAGACTATAACTGATGTGAAATTCTGAATATGTATGCAACATATACATTTACAAGACATAGAACACAAACAGGGCTCATTGTTAATAACACCCTGGAATTAAAGTCCCTGGCAGTCACGTCTTGTAGCAAATGTTGTTGTGAGCATCTGTCTAAGTTTTTTTTTGTGCTTTCATTCTCTTTTTACAGCCGTGAAATGTAAAACATGGTGTGCTTATAACCATTTGGTAGGTTCATACTCATGTTTCTATTTACTAAGGAAATTGGCATTTTGAAGATTAGTGAGGAAAATTTTGTTGACACATCAATGACCATTGTTGTTATTTAATGATAACATCAATGCTCAGAAGAATCATGTTAGGCCACTTTTATCTTTTGTGATGAAGTTATAGTTATGTAATTATTGCTAGCTATTTGGTAACAGCAAAAATTTTAAAGCAAGCAAACTCATTCTTTTTCCTTTTTCTAATTAGTACTCTTTTGTGGCACCATCTCCCAAAAGTATGTGATTTTCACTGATGAACGTATCAGTTATGATGATAGGTGGAAAGTACAGTTGTAAGGTATAATTATGCTAATGACAATAAGTTGCATTCATATGGTCAGGGAAAGCTTGTTATTATCAAGGAAAAATGGGATGACTGTGAAACCTGATGTCTGTAGTAACCATGTTTTGTAGACTTGCATGTGTCCAAATAGATCTGTACAACTACACACATTGAATGCAATAAGTATAACAAAGTAAATCAATACATTTTCATCACCAGAAAATTGATGATAGAAATGTGACTGTGAGGGCTGCTGAGCGTCGACAGGTGAGTTCACATCATTTATTTTTATGTTACACCATAATTTGGCATCACTGTCATTGATATTTAAGAATTTGTTCATGCGTAGCATGCATATATTGAGTTAAGGATGCATGCGGGAAGTTTGCAGTGCACAAGAAATGCATGAGAGTAGCTTGAGGTGCAGCCGAGAGCAACTCTAGCTTTTGGAGTGCTCTTCAAACTTCCCAAGTGCATCCATAACTTGATATATGCACAGCTAAAAGCATGAGCAAATTCTTTTATAACAGAGCGACAAAAGAGGATTTGCGCTAAGAAGCCTTTTATTGTGATAGTGTTTTGGTTTTGGTAAATTCCCAATTAACAACTGTGTACTTTATTCCCCAGGGTGAACAAATTTAAAAAACAACAATTAAAACGGAAATTTTTACCGTTAAATGTTGTTAATGACCAATTGGTGACTTTTTTGTTCCCAGTGAATGTCTTTCAGCCAAAATTTGCTGCAGCTGGTCTTCCACCAAATTTGTGAAACATGCAACTTGCGAGTTTTTTTTGGGCTTTATTTTTGTTGCTTGTTGTATCAGGACCTAAAGGGTCAATGCTGATAGAAAAATTGGGTAGTTCTTTGCTGGTTTCTTCCATGTTTCAAAGAGAAAGAGAACTGCACTGCAGCTTAACAGGATGGAAACTCTGAAGCTGGGTAAAAAAAATGCTCACATCATCTCATTTATGCACGGGCGTGCATAAATAAAGATTTTGTTCATAGCAGCTCAATAGGACTTATATAGGGCAAGCACGGATGCAGGAAAAGCCCATGGATAAAATACACTCTGAACTAGTGCTATCCATAAATCTTAAACTAAAGCATCCAATCATGAAAAAAAAGTTAGATCTAACACAAGAAGCCACATAGATGTAAGTGATTGCCATCATGAGGAAACTTGGGAGAAATTTTCTTGCAAATTGATTTTGCTTGAAAAATCAATACTAATTTGATTGCTTTAAAGTGTAGTTTTTACCAAGTTATAAGTTTGTAGGTTTGCAAGTCAATCATTAAGTATTGATAAACTTATCCCAATTTTCCTGATGTAATGTAAGGTTAAAAATGGTATCCTATGCTGTTGTAGCATTAAATCTATCACAAGCAAAGGGAGAAAAACATATTTCCTTTACTAAATGAACTTTTTTCCCTCTTCACTTTACCTGTAGACTAATTATGCAGCAATTGAAAAGAGGAAATGTGCAGAGGATAATAACCCCACATTATACTGGGAGTACAAATGGGCTGAGGACCCCAAATCAGAGGTAGAAATTTATTCAGATATAGGCAGCTCACACTGCAAAAGGTTTTTCTCCACAGTTAACAAATCCCAGCCATTCCATCAGTGCTACCAATGCACCTGTTGACAACAACAAAAACCTTTTTTTTTTTTCTTTCCTTACTCATTTTCATGCTTTCATTGTTGCAATTGGCCTGGTCCACAGATACTGTACATAGGAGCTGGGTTTTATGGCCAGCTACAGTGATTATTACTGTTAAACAATGAACTTGTGTGGTCAAAAGGGTGCCTATAGGTATGCATGTTTAATGTCTTATCTGATAGCGGAAGTGGACTTTAAAATGTCCTTTTTGTGTTTCCAGAATTGCTACACAAATTGTCTCTATTCCTCAGGTTTATGGTCCCTATGAGACAAGTTTGATGTTACAGTGGTCTAAAGCTGTAAGTATTTGGATATGTTCTGAAAAATAATTTGGAAAGCAAAAGAATATCCAATCACTTTTAATCAGCTGTGGATGGAGGAAGCTCAGGGAACACTTGATTATCCTATTTGACTTTGTCTTGGAAAAATGGTAGTTTAATGTACTACATGATGGGCAAAAGTAGAGGTTCTTCAATATTATTTTTCGTTTTCAATGGATTTATTCGTGAAAATTATGCTTCCTCTTTGATGCTTTCACTTCCAAGATGTCATTGGTAATTCTCCTTACTATCTCCCATACAATCCCTATTAATGTCAGTTCAGAGAATTTGGTATTGGAAAGACTAATAATCTCCTAATTGATATTTTTCTTTATTCTTATTACTTGTCTGCTTGAAGTTGTATTGAAATTATAAGGAGAAATTCTCTGTTGATCACTCATAGGAGTGAATTTTTAAGTTAATTTCTTCCCTGTATGTTTTCTCATTTTAGGGATATTTTGACGCAGGTTGTTGGGTGCGAGAACACGTGACCAAACAAAGTGACGAGAACTCATCTGAACCTTCATGTAAGACAGCGAGACTAGTGGATCAAAGTTATTCCGATTCGAGTGATTCTGAGGATGATACACCATCTGTGGGGCACCCTGAGGAAAATGAATTTCTTCATGTGTCTGAGATAGATTTCTCTATATTTCCATGAGTAAGTGCAACGCCTGGAACATCAGACAGTTTGAGTGTTAACGGAGTATGTGACACATCGGCATCGGTGAGATCATTGGTAGTATTGGAAGGATAGCTAAATGAAAGAGGAAATTCATTTTATATTCAAACTTTGAGTGGCCAGATAGTCCTGCTCGCCGTCTTTTGTTTATTTCGTCACGCAATGCATTCTAATCCGGACTAGCGGCGAGAGACTGTCACAACAGTTTGTATCGTCGTCTGTTTTAGTACGTTGAAACCTTAAGCAAGACAGGTCACTCATATTGATATCTACCTTTGAACAAATGAATGACGAATAGCATAAAACATTACATCATTACTTCATCGTGTTCAAAATATGTTTTTCTCGAAGTTTGGCCCACAGACGTCTGTTTGTTTACATCGAGCACTAGTAAGGTATATTCAAGTGAGCTGTGGTTGAAGTTTTTGACACGTCAGCTACTTTTGAAGACTATTCTCTAAATTTTTAGACCCCTCGTTATATCATTCGAAAGAAATGGTTTCATGTTTAGTTCTTGTAAGCTAGTCAAACTTGTTGATGGTTAAATTTAAATTTTAGTTACGCGAACAAATCAAGAACCTGATCTATCAGACCTAAAATTACCGCTTCATTGAACATTACACTTTGTCAAACTAATTGACTGTATCAAAGTGTCATTTAAATTCTAAAATCTGTTTTATCTTCCTTTAACGGCTGGCGGTGAATCTAAATGGACTAAAATGAATGAAGAACCTCGTATCACAATTTCGGCTGGCTGTCATATGTGAAAAACGTCAAAATTCCCCTGATCACAAAGCATCCCAAACCATCTCAAGGATTATAGGTTAATACAAAAGGAAATGATGTTCCATTGTTTTCTCTTGCTTAAAAATGGATTATTTGGTTATTCACCCGATGTCTAAACAGAACCACGGTTTTACGCATTCAGTGGGCCTTAGGCTTTCTCCATAAAATGGTTGATTTACTTAAATGAATTTCCTTCTACTTTAAGGTTTTTTGGCCCTCGTGACGCTCTTCACAAAAATAAGCGTTCAGATAAAAGGTTGAGCTAAATTGAGGATTGTTTAGGACGGGGTTTCGTTTAGCAACGGCAAAACTTTGTTAACCGGCCCTTCAAGCATTTTACAGAGGCAGTACGATTCATGGTATAGCCAACCAAAAAAGAATAATTATACGAAACGCCGAACTGACCGCAATCAGATGTAGCCGTTATTTTCATCAACTTGTCGCCCATTTCTATTTGCTTTTCTGTCTAGGCTTGAATGATACGTGTAAAATGAGCAACAAAGATAAGCGGTACTATTTCTGTTCACCGAGGATCTGTTCAACCGCAGTTTGCACTTCTGGGTAAGGCCTTCTAAATCAAATTCGTTTCTGTCGGCCCGGAAGAACTATCTGTCGTAGATACCACGGGCATGTTTCTTTTGAACAGAGGTCATTTGAAAATAAACGGAGCATGGTACGGTTTGTAATCAATGATTTCGAATGAATGAGGAAAGTAGTGATCTGATCGGTTGACAAGGAAGCGATTTTTTTTTTAAACCAACCGTAGAAATTAGTGAAGCAAACCAGTACGAACAATAAAAACTGAACTGAAAATTCAGTCGCTATGAATTTTGACCTGCTGAAACGACCGATCGCATAAAATCCGGCCTCATCGCCTCTGATAATGTTTTCAAGAAAAATGAAGCAAAAACATTTAAAGTCTTCGCTATTGATAGAATTCGTGGTAATTCATGAAGACAAGGAACTGGACGGTCACATAAACGTAGCACATGCACTACAAATAATCAGGTAGAAAAATCACGAAGATTGCCAAACTCTAGAATTATTTCTTTCGCGCTTTTAGCCTATAAATATCTAAACGCCAGGCAAGAGCTAAGAGCTCTTCCTCGCATGGCGTTGTACATTGGCGGGTTTCAATTTTTCCTGTCCGACTCGGTTGAAGCAGCTCGACATGAACTGAAGGCAAGTTCGTACACACGAACTCTGACGAAGGGCTAACGCTCGAAACGTCAGCTTTTTTACCCTTTACGGTGGCTAATTTACGTTTTCAACTCAGTTGTTAACACCAAATTACCTGCTTAGTTTAGGGTACACGTGCTCGTTTACATAGTTAACTGTCTCATAAATAACGCAGTTAGTTCACAAGAATACCGGGCTGAATATGAAGAATACAAATTAGTAAAAGACAAACCAAGACTATGTCTAACCTGTTTTATGACCATTATTTTCTGTCTATTTAATTTCCAGCGATTGAATCTTGGAGCAGGAATAATGCGAATGAAACATTTTCAGTGATTTATGCAAAAATGGTTCTGGGCTTTTAGCTTAACAACGAATGTGTGCATTGTGTCTCGAGACTTTCCAGTGATTATTCCTATCAATACTTCATTCGAACGAAACTTGTCGCTGTGAAATTTACATAGGCTGAAAAAACTTTTAAGCGACTGTACGGGAAAATGAAATTTTGTTTCAGCACTTTTGTACGCTAAATTTAATAACTTTGTTGAATGTTTTATAAGATTTGATATGAGCCATATCCTAAACATCAATCATATGCGTAATTGTGCGTTCCAAATTTGTCAATTAACCCACTTTGATTATAGAAGTAAAATACGAGGTTACTATCACGTATGAGAAGCATAGCCAGAGACATCTGTTACTGGATTTTTAAAGTATGTGAAACAAAACAGTCTTGATTTTCTTAATAAGTACACTTTGTTGAATCCAAATCAGCCACAAATTGCAGTGTGTGACGGAAAACGACAACTGGTTGTTTACTGATACTGGAAAATTCTCGTCCACGAAAATAAATATTCCTACACACGGCTTTCAATGAAATCAGAGACAGTCATCAATATAATTGAAGTTTATTCTCTAGCCACATTCAGCTTGGCGAAAATTTCTGTAATCGAAAGCTAATTCGACCTCGTTACGTGGACGGAAAATTTATTTCTTCCACGGAAATGAAGCCTGGTACAACGCATTTTTCTACTCGTGTGGGCCTCTGGGTTGTGGTGGTGTGCGTGATTTCCGCTACATTTCTGATTTCCAACTATCTGGTTGTTAATGAGCGTATTGCCGCTATGGAAGGAAAACTAGAAAGTCTGCAGAGAGGTGAGAATTTAAACCAAGATGTTTCTTCTGACGAACAAACAGGTGGCAAAGACGAGCATCATGTCAGAAGAAAAAGAGCGTTGAAACGAAGAACTCAAGCGAGCGCTATCGCAGATTTTGAAAAACGACTTCGAGCTTTGGAGAAAAGGTATCCCTACCTAATACTTTGTTTTGTCTACTGAAAAACCACCTTGCCATTGTGTCACTAGTTTAATGAAAATTTATTGCCCTTTATCTATGAATAAAATTTGCCTTTCGGTCAATAAATAAGTAATCTCTCAGAGCATCACACGATGCATCAATCGGGAGAGCTTTTCCTTCAGATTAGCTAAACACTTCATTCTCTCGCAAATTTAACATTACTCTCAAGTTTTCTTTGATTAAGACAAGAATATCAGGGAAAGGAGAATTTAATTATCAACTGAAAATTGAGTGTATTGCGCGTTACGCGCACCACATACAACTTTTGCTTCAAATCTAATTTTGAGAGAATCCCACAATTATCAATCTGTTTCTTCATTTGCAAATAACATTACTTCCTATATTTTTTTTTAGCTTGTATACAATCCCGCAGACTAAGTCTGCTTAAGCTGATTATTACGTTATTTCAATCTGATAGGATTAATGCCAACAATCGGTCTATGATGTCCCCAAGCGAGCATAGTGATTGGTGGTTTCTTGCATATCTTCGAGGTTTGTAAACCTATGACGGTTTAAAATTGATTCTTGCTTTTTTTGTTGTTGTTGTTTGATTTGCCACAATCAATAAAAGAATGTTAGCACAAATTCAAATTCTCAATTCAAATTTCTCAAACAGGGCGAGATGGTCGAGATGGCAGGGAAGGCCTCATGGGTCCTCCTGGACCGCCTGGAAAGCCGGGTACCCCAGGGATAGCGGGAAAACCGGGTGCACCAGGGCCAAAGGGTAAGAATTTAACAACAACAATTGCCACTAAGTACAGGAACATCATAAGCTGCACAAACAGAGGTATCTTAAACAGCTGAAACAAAAGAGGTCGGAGTTACAAGTTAGATGTGTCTCAAATTAGACAAAATACAGAGATATCCAAATCTGAACAAACAACGCAGTAGCCACAAACTGGACAAACAACTAAGATGTTACAAAATGGACACCCAAAAGAGTGTCACAAACCACAAATAAAGAGATGTCACAATTTGAACAAAAAACAAACGTGTCACAAACTGGACAAAAATTAGAGATGACAGAAACTGAACAAAAATCAGGTGTCACAAATTGAACAAACAGCAAATGTCTTAAAAACTGTACAAACAACAGAAATGTCGTTAGCTGGACAAACAACGGAAATGTCATTAACGAGAAAAACAACAAAGGTGACACAAACTAAACAAACAACAAAGGTGACACAAACTGAACAAACAACAATGGCGTCACTAAATTGACAAGCTAGAGAGGTGTCACAAAATGAACAAATAAAAGAAAGGTCACAAACTGGACGAACAGAGGCATCGTAGACTGCTTAAGGAAAAGATACATTGCAGACCTGAAGCAACAGAAGGCAATTTATTTCTTTTCTTTTGTCACTACGATGTTGGTCAAACAGGACAGTCTGGACATGGTACTAACAAGCCGGTTCCAGGTCCCCCAGGTCCTAGGGGACAGCAAGGTCCTAGTGGGAGCCCTGGGCGCCAGGGGCCCCAAGGGCCCAAAGGTAATAAAGGGCGGGATGGGGCTGGTATTGCTGGAGTGAAATATGTCCGCTGGGGAAAGACCAAGTGTCCTAGCGGTGCTCAATTGGTTTATGAAGGTGAGAATTGCTTACTATGTTTCAGAATACTACTATATTGTTAACCCCTCGAAATGTTAACTGCGTGTAGAGAGTGGTGGTGAAAAAGTTACTAAAAGAGGACTTGAACGTTTGTAAGGCTACTGAAAAATTTCTTTTTAATTTTCAATCAAATATACACAGGGTTGAATTGAATAGATGAGTGATCTTAAATTTTTTCTTAGGTATAATTGGGAGTAGCCATTACCGCCATCTTGGTGGAGGAGGAGAATACATTTGTCTGCCAAAGGTCCCGAAGTACGACAAATACAAGGACGGATATCAATCGCACTCATACATTTATGGCACTGAATATGAAGTCAGTGGGTTCAATCCATTTAAAAACAGCCTACATGATCACGACGCCCCATGTGCAGTATGTTACGTCAGCTCACGTGCAACCCAGCTGATGATACCTGCTAGGAATGATTGCCCCTCCGCTTGGACCGAAGAGTACCATGGGTACCTGATGTCGGAGTACTACAACCACAAACAGTCTCGCAACTTCATTTGCGTTGACCGAGACGCGGAGTTTGTTCACGGCAGCCGTGCAAACGTCAATGGTGCCCTTCTGTACCTTGTGGAAGGTCAGTGTGGCTCGTTGCCATGCCTACCTTATGTTGGTGGTAGGGAATTGACTTGCGCTGTATGCACCAAGTGATGAGTCAACCGTGGAAAAGCTCTTCAGACACTAGTGGCTTTAGATTTTCGAGAAAGCTTTTAATATTCAAGGTTTTGTATAGGCTGAGGCTAAAAGAAAAGGGAAAAGTTTTATTTTATTAATGAATAAACAACTTAAAACGTTTACCCAAGAATAGGGTTTTTGTATTGTTGTTTTTATTTTGCTTAACTTTGTTTTGTTTTTGTTTTTGTTTTTAATTTTGTTTTTGTGTCTGTTTCTGTCTCTATTTTTTCTTTCATCGAGTAAACTGTTCCACGGCAACCATGAATGCCATATTCGTTGGAAAAGTGGAAAACGTCTTTCGCCATCTTCCCTTTATAAAATTTATATGAACAGAAATTTTGTATTTCTTAAATTGCCTTTCTTTCCATATCGCCAGAAACAAGGTTCGATTAAAGGAATTTCCGACATAATTTTGTTGGTCATTCAACCTGTTTTGGGATCAAAACAACCAAGATACCACACTAAGAAACTGTTGACTCAGCTCTTGAGACATGAATGTCGACCGAATCTCCACAGAAAAGTTCATGAAAACCTAATTTTAATTTGTTTTTCGAAAAATGCCAAATTTCTACGTAAAACCTTGATAACTGAGGTTTATAAAGAAACGGGAACAAACAAACGGTCCCGGTTATACTTGTTGTAATTAGGATTAAGTTTACTGACTTATGTTCACTTTTGATCAAAATAAATATTAGTGGAAAACAATTTGTCATAATTGGAGCTTTAACCAAAACCTTTTCTCCCCAAAGAAATGACCAGGCTCAGGGATCGCCAGAAAGGCAAAAAGGAGGAAAAGTAACGCAAATTATTTTGCTATGAGAGGAAGGATGAGGCTTTCTTATGATTTAAACACATAACTTAAATTTTTGTCTTAAATATATCTAACGAAATATCTGACTCAGCGCCAATTGCACGACAAATCACACGAATGTTAATGCAAATACTTTCATCCTTATTCATCCTTACGATTGATTGCACGAAAAGTATGAAAGAAAAATATGAAAGTCCACACGGCGACCAGGTGGACAATCAGACATGGTTTGATGCTACTCTGGTTTAAAGATTTAAAAGTAACCGAGAAGTTACAATTCGTAGACCCAACGTTTCGACACTCCTGTCTAGTGCCCTCATCAGGGGTGATCTAAACGCTGCAACACGAAATCCTTTCATACGCTCACTAATTAGCTGCCCTTTTTTCTGACGAGGTGTAAACAGGCATCAGAAGTAAGGCGCCATCATCACGATTTAAAGGAGTGTGGGCGGAGTTGATATGCTAAGCTTCCAAATAAAGGCGCTGGTGGTAACGCCGATTAGATTTTAGACTTATCCCACCCTGTGTGCTCCGATAAAGCTGAATTTTCTTTTCGCGAAAGAAGACCGCTTTTTGATGCTCTTTCAAACGTGTACCAAACTGACGTTTGGTCTCTCTGATATACTCGTTATCACAGTCATTGCACGGGATAGAATAAATAGCGTCGGTTCGTTGTTCTTTCGCGACAGGATCTTTATGTTTGGCAAAAGTATGCCCTAAAGTCTGAAAAGGTTTCTGAGCAACTTTTACGATGGGTTCCGACAATTGTCTCTAAATTCCCCTGTTCCCCTCTGTACACATTTAAATCAAGAAAGGGCAAACGTCTATCCTTTTTACGCTCAAGGGTAAATTGCAGAGACGGCTCTACTGAACTCAAGTGCGATAGTAGGCGTTCCGCTTCATTTTCGGATACCGCAGAAATCACATCATCGATATATCGTTTCCCGAAAAAGGGTTTAACAGGTGAAGTGGCTAAAGCCCTTTGTTCCACGTCTTTCATTACCAACTATCATGAACCGTTTGAACGCAAATATGATGGTCAATAATAGTGAACGAAAGTTTAAGCTATCATCAATTATCATAACCGTTTGAACGGGACTTTCGTACTTGCCAAAACAGAGTAAAATAATAAACGGGGCGATATTCAAGGTAACCCGACCCAGACCTCCCTCGATTTTTCACTCCTCTGCTCCTATCGCACCCCGTTCACTTTTGTGCTTCGTTTCTCCAACAGAACACCTGGAACGGACTGGTTCTTCTCACGTAACAAGGATCCAGTTTATACTCCTCTGTAAAGAAAGATATTGTTATTTGTCCATGAGTACGCAACACCGTTAGCTCGGCTCTAAACCATTAAACCGCGTTATTCGTGCTTTACCGCAAATAGCGTTCCAGGACTCCAATTTCTAGTGAAACACAGAATGAACTCTGTTCATTAAGACTGGCTCGATCAGCTTTTGCAAAACTTGTATTTGAATGCACGCTCCACGTGGTTATTTCTTGGTGTGATTATGACGATACAATCAGACTTTTGTGGCAATAATTCACTATCCTCACTCATTTTCTTTTTCTTTTCATTCAGCCCCTAATTAAGATAGTAAAGAAATAAATAAATTGTCTACAGATTTTATTGTTAAGGAGCAAGGCGGCAACGTCTTCTAAACTATGAATTCGAAATGATTGAGAACAATTGCAGAAGCTGTATCTTTCCGAGAAAACAATATATTTTGTCAAGAGATTATAATCCCTTGATTTTGTAAAACTGGAAAATTCGAGCACTCGACTTTGATCACGATTCATGCTCATGATTCTTTCTCAATGATTTAGATTAGCAGTATATAAGTGCAGCGCTCTGGCAGCTGTATATGCTGTAAAAAAAATGATAATCTCTCCGAGAAACGAATGGAATAGAGTTATATTATGGCTTGTTTCTGTAGGATCAAAACACTTTACACGTGTTGCGGTCCTTCTCTTCCGTACACGCAATTTCTTCTTTTTTCCTTCTTTATCCATTCATTGACGAAACAAGTACTTGCAATATTGAAGAAATACAGTACACTACTAAGAAGGAAGCTTATACACGAAAGTAAGAGGCGCGGAGCCCAGAACTGGTTGAATATCATAAAAGGAAAGATAGTTTGGCTCGCCACATCGTGCAATCACTGCGTAACTTGGCGCACCTAACAACGTCTGCGCAACAGGTAAGTCACTAACAAAACAGACTGCTCAGGGCGTTTGTTTTCTGAATGAGCGACAGGCTGCATTGTACTGCAAGGGCCTTTTTCCCACCTTTACAAAAGAAAACTCTTGCAGTTTGGAAACAAAAGAATAGACCAACAGCAGGGACAAACAACACTAATTGCAAATTACATGGGCTTGGTTGAACGTTCACATAAGGGGCTAAACATCAGCTTAGGGCCATTCTGCACCAGCGACAAAATTGTTTATTTACACAAATTTTCTGTCATCACCAACATTTTAAAGTGCAAATGGTTTGTAATAAATTTTGGCCGAAGTGGACAAATCTTTTAACCCACCGCCGACAAAATTTGCCCGGGGTAAAAATTTGGCAAAGTCGGCTAAATAAACAAAACCGTGGTACACTTGTCAATCATTTGTCGTATAGGATACGACAAGCGTGTAATTGAACTGAAGTCAGTTTACTAGAAAGGCAAAAATTGTCTTTTGCTGCAAAACTCAGGGATTCTAAAGTTTTAAAACGACTTAGAATAAATCCTGGAAATTGGAGGTGGAATCCTTTGGCAACTAGTTGGTCTTATTAACAGATCAGGCGCTGACGGAATTTGACGGCTTTGAAATTTTAATACGATGCAATAGAAGAAACAAAAATTTGTCCATCGATTTTGTTAGGACAATTCTAGCTTTGTCCGCTAGTGCGGAGAGGCGCTTATTGGAGCTTAGCAATGACTTACCCCGCCCGCTCTGGTAGAGTTTCAAGGTATGTAAGCGCTTTTTTAATTTATCAGTATCATTTACCCTTCTGTCTTGTATTACGCCATTCCTCATACCTATTCAATTCTTTTGTGGCATTTTGACGAAAATTATATGCATAAAGTGCTCCTTTTCCCGCCTAAGTCAGCCTCTTTTGCAGGGCGACAGCTGATTGGCTTATAGTTCTAATTAGAGTTCATATTTTAAATTCATAATTAGTGGAGTCTCTACCGCATCTAAGATAAGATCTTGTGCCAAGGTTGTACTTTTGAACACATTTCTGTAACTTTAAAGGTCGCAGCTCCAAAAAGCCTATTTGCCTATTCTAGATCTGACCAGAATGCGAGAGATACTACATGACCATTCATTGCGAGAGCAAATTTGAACAAAGTGTTGGTATGGTACGGATTCAACAGCCTTCGCTACCTGTGAACCCAAGCGCAAAAGCGGGAGAACCACTCGGTGAGTATTTCGCTAATACATGTCAGGGGCTCGTATTTTCAGCCGAAACTACTTGATGTTGTCTCTAGAGTGATGGTTCCTTGAGTTCAAGGTGAAATATTATGTGCGTTCGATTTATTGTGATTTTCGCCGATTCGTAAGTTCCCACATTAATTATGATATTTCGATTCCCATGTCATCTTTTTTCTTTGATGGTTTTTAACAATCAAGAGTTATTATCAATTTGCAACAAAGGGTTGAATTAATATGGCTATATAAAAGGGCTGTTCAGGGCGTGAAATTAATTTTTTTTCTGATAGCCACTTGGCTCCTAAATTCTTCAAAGCGGTAGCCAATTCAAAAAAAGTTGGTCGCCATTTTCAAAGACAAACAAAACCTTTTTTTACGCTGTCAGCGTCCATGATAGACCCTCCAAAATTATCTTGAACGTGCTACAAAGTGGACTCTAGGATGGATGATATACAACTTTTAAGCTCACCTAAATCCATGATGGCGTCTAGTTATCGATCGAGATACATCTGCTGCGTTTTGGAAACAAACATAACAAGGTAGCTTGCCGCGGATTTTTCTTTGCAAACATTTTTAATTCGCTATATCTCTTGGTAAGGTTATGATGAAACATTCCAGTCGCCAATTTGGCGACTAATTTTCAGAATTTGGTCGCCAAAGTGAAAAATGTAGTTGCATTGGCGCCTGTATTAGGCGCAATTTCACGCCCTGACTGTTTACTTCGCTGGTCGCAGGAATATTGCACAGTTTCTGATGAAACGGGCGTGTTAACAACTTCCTTATTGTTCGAATCAAAGACGCGTAAATGGAATCCTTACCGTACTCAAAGGATACTTTTTTTTTACTCTTTTCTTTTCTTACAACAGT